GGTTGCACCAGCTTGCGTTCCCACCAACGGTGTAGGAGGGTTCCCCTTTCTCCGCATCCCCGCCAACATCTGTCGTTTCCTGCCAAGTTAAAAGATTGTTAATTGGGTTGTAAAACGAGACACAGCTACACACTGCTTACAAGAAATCAAGGTGCAAATAAGCGAGCAGTGCAACGGGGACACCTGCCATCATAGCACACTAACCAGACGGAGCCTGGAGCGGGCGTGTCCGCTTCGGACAAAGGTTTTGCTGCCATGAATGTTACCAGGAGCGTAAGTGGAAAGGTAACTCATCAGAAACAATGTGACAGTCCTCAGTATCCACGCACCTCATAGCAGAGCTTCAAACAACAGCAAAACCCGATAAAACTGCAAGGAGAACTGGATGAACACACAGCCGATAGCTGCCTTCAGTAACTGTGCTAGGATGAAGACACAGTGTCCTCATCAGGCATGTTCAGCATCAGATCGTGGCTCTGGCTGGTCAGTAAGGCAACAAAAGGGGATAAAAGGCATCTGGTTGGAAAGGAAAAAGTCCTCAGGCACAGATGACATGATCCTTCAAGTAGAAAATCCTAAAATCTGCAACGAGGAACCAATTAACTGAGTTTAGGAAACGTAGCCGTATACAAGGTTCAGTATTCAAAACCCACTTGTACTCCTGCATGTCAGCAGTGAACACTTGAGAATGAAATCCTGGGGATCCACCAGACAGGAGGTACGTAAGCTCTGTGCACTGAAAACCACAACACGTCGCTGTGGAAATGCCCATGAACGAGAGAGGGGCCGTCCTATAGAGGAGTCAGCATCGTTCAGTTACCAGCCCTCCCCATGTTCTGCAGTCAGCCCCCATCAAAATACCGAGACGGGCAAAAATTGACAAGCTGATTCTAAAATATATATGGAAATACAAAGGACCTAGCGTAGGCAAAACAACTTTGCAAAAGCGAACAGAGCTGGAGGACTTCCACTACCCGATAGCAAAGAATTTGACAGAGTTATGGCAGGACCATACAGCATCGGCACCAAGGTGGATGCCACGGAGCCCTTGAACACAATACAAAGTCTAGAAAGAGACCACAGATTTATGGTGAGAGGGTTTTTGACAAACGTACTGAGGCAGCGCAGTGGGGAAAGGATCATGCTTTCAATGGAAGGGGCCAGAACAGTCGGATAGCCGTATGCAGGAAAAAAAATTCCTTGTTACTTTATACCATGTACAAAAAGTAACTTGAGATATAAGGCCTAAAATTACAAAACTTCTGGAAGAGAGCAGGAGAAAAGTCTGAGGGACCTTGAACGTGGCAAAGATTTCTTTACTAGGACATAAGTAATTGTAAATCGGACTCTTCGAAATTAAAACCTTTTACTCTTCAACAGGCATCGTTGTGAAAGTAAGAAGGCAAACCATGGCCTGGGAGAAGGAATTCCGAAGCACAAACCTGACGGAGGACGTACAGCCAGAGCACGTGGGGGCTGCTACTGGGTAGGGGGAGTGGTCCCCCGGAGATGCCCAGGTCCTACTCCGTGGAGCCCAGATCTGTGTCACATTGGATGGCAAGAGGGACTTCGCGGACGGATGTGATTAAGACTTAGAGACGAGATGGTGCCGGATTATCCAGGTGGACCCAAACTAATCACACGAGCTCTTGAAACTCCATCTTCTCGGCTTTGGTCGGGCAGAGTGGTCTGGACCCGGCAGCGCCGGAGCCAAGATGAGGAGCAGCCTCTAGCCGCCGCGAAGGACGTGTGGCTCACAGCGGGCAGGAGCCAGACCCCAGACCTGCAAACCCGTGCACGGAACCAGATTCTGCCCCAGAGCCTGCGGGAAGGACGCAGCCGCGCTGCCCCTCGACCAGCCTGCGAGACCCGGGCCACCCTCCCGGCCACCAGCACCGCGACGAGGTGCATCTGCTGTTGTCAGCCACTGAACGTGTAGTCATTTGTTACGGTAGCGATGGAAAAACTACAGTATCTATAATCTGTGTGTAATGTAGTATCCGTAACAGGCCAGTAGTCCATGTTAGAAAAGGGCCGGAGATTTGAACGGACACTTCCCCAGAGATTTACGGGTGATGGACGGACCTAAGTCCGTGGAAAGATACTGGGCATTGTTCGTCTGCAGGGACAGGCGCGGGGACCCGGAGCACTGCTCTCGCCAGGACGGCCGAGGGTGAGCCGGCCGGGGTCAGCGAGTGCCTGGGGCAGCGGCCGCTCTCACTGCTGCGCAGAACGCAGACCGGTGCAAGCACGTCGGAGAGCAGTTGGGCAGCTTCTAGAAGAGGAATCACACCACCCCCACACGACCTGACCGTGTCACCCTGGCATGTGCTCGAGAGAAATGAAGACCTGTTTGTCTTCATCAGCTCAACGCAGCTTTATCCACACTGGCCGGAAATCGAAACCAGCCCCGAGGCCCCCTGAACAAATTGTGGCATATCCACACGGAGGCAAGTATTTGGCAGCGAAGCAGGAACGTACAGTGTGGGCGAGTCTCAGAGGAATCAGGCTGAGTGACAACGGATACATGCTGGATGCTTCCATTTCCATAAACTTCTGGAGAACACACTGCAGACCGGTGGTTGCCTGGGATGGGGCGTAGGGGCCCATCTCCCACCCACCCTCTGCCTGGACTCCAGGCCCAGTGGGACGTTCTCCGGTCACCTGAGAGGTGCCTGAAGGCGGCACGGGGCTGTGCTGCCCTCAGGGCGCACGGTGACACGCACCCCCCCACCGGAGCATCCAGGGGCCCATTGAAGATGGAGGGGCTGCCTCCATGTGATGGCCCTTACACATCCTTTCTGTCCTGAATCCCAGAAGGACCAGCGGAAGCTTGATTGCAATGCCCCTTTTATTAAAAATAATTGCACTTAAGATCAAGGGCTTCCCTGGGTCCCGTGAATCCTCCAGAGTTCCCCGGGCCGGCTCTCATGGGACGGGAGGGCAGCCCCACCTGCTGCCGGGGGGCGATGCCCAGAAAGCAATTTGCGGTGGCCAGAGCAGCAGGGCAGCCCGTGACGTGACCTCAGGGTGCAGGCACGGCAGCCTCATCCCGAGCACACCTCCGCTGTCTCGGACAGGCAGCTGGTGGCAGACGACATCACACACATTCCAGTGACAAGCTTCAGAGAGGTAAACCTTCCAGAACAGCCTTGCACACACAAGGCAACCCTGGGGGCCACAGCCCGTGGGATCCCCGGGTCCCAGGAGGTAGACGCATATGCAGATCTGGGTATTCGAGGGAGGTCGGGGCCATGAGACATGGGGCATGGGCTTCTGCCCCTGAGGCCACCCACACGTCCTGACCAAGAGTTCGCAGGTGCTGGGGCCACGGTGAAATCCGTCTCCTCCCATAAAGGATCAACACACCACTGGCCCCGGGTTACGACCAACTGATGAGAAACTGCTCTCCCATCATCAGTGAGACAGGGATGTCCAGGGTCTGGAAAAAAAATAAAAAAAATTGACCACCACACAGTTGCCATCAGAGGGGAGGCCCCGAGCGCTCGGCAGACAGGAGCCTGGGCTTGGGTGCGTGGTGCGCTCAGGGCCGGCCCCAGCCCCAGAGGCTTCTCGCTCTGTGCCTCCCTGGCTGAGTCCAGAGGACAAGCGTCCTCTGCATTGACCGCCTCAGCTTTGGAAGCGGGCTGCCATTTAAACATGGCCCACGAGTCACCGTCTGTGTAGACACAGGCGGAGGAAAGATCCAGGGTGCACGGGGCCTGTCCTTCCCCTCCCTCCCTCACCCTTGTAAGACCCGGCTCAGCTGATACCAGGTCCCCAGGGTCCTTGGCACCTCCCGCCCCCTCGGCCATCCTGGTGGACAAGCCCTCTGGCCCCATCTATGGGCCCTCTTGCCTTGGTGTCAGGGCTGTAGGTGAAGTTGGAGACAGGGACGCCATTAGAGAGGACCTGGCTGGGGGCCACGGCCACCCCCAGGATGGTCACCTTCCTCAGCTGCAGGCTGGCGCCCTCGCTAGTCACGTGCACCAGCTCGTTCACGATGGTGTTCTGGCAGAACGGAGAGACAGAAGCGAGGTGTCAGCGGGCGGCCGGGAAGCCCTGCCGGTCGGGGTCGGGGGGTCTGGACAGCAGTCGGCACCGTGCCCCTGGGCAAACCCTCAGGACGCTGGCAGGTGCACGAGGACTGGGTCAGGGCAGCTGACCCACAGACCCTGCTCCCTTAACAAGGCTGGCCTGGGGACAGGAGGCCCCCACGGGGCCCACCAGTTTGGGCAGGTCCTGGGACTCACATTCCTGGCCAGGAAGATGACCTTCGTGTAGTCCCCGCGCTCTGGCACCCCCAGGCTCTCCCCGTCATCCCAGAATAGCTCCCCTTGGGCCTCCCTGTTTGTGGTCAGGGCTGCGAGCAGGGCCATGGGCTGCTTCCGGGACTCCGTGGTTGTGAGGCCAGGGCCCTGGAAAAGCAGGTGGCATGTGTCACCGTCTCAGGCCTGGCAGAGGCCTCCACAGTCAGGACAGGAAGGACACTGGGCTGGGACAGCTCCGTGCTGCCAGAAAGCAGGATCCACAGGACAGCCTACAGCCGAGGGCTGGGGGGCCTGTGCTGACCACTCTGGCCAACGCAGACACCCTGGAGGGTGCAAGAAGCCCACGGAGGTTTGCAGACTGCTTCCCAAGAAGAGCGCACGAAGCAGGCCTCCCCTCTGCCTGGCACAGCAAGTCAGTTCATCTTCAACCCTCAGACACTGTGCTCTCTGCCTGAGGTTTGGCGATGGACCCTCCCCTGAAGGGGCAGCATGGGGTCCTGGCAGCCCCAGAGCTGGACAGATGGACTCAGGTGCCCCACCCAGGTTACCTGCAGGGGGATGATGTGTCCAGCCCGGAGGTGGAGGTTGATGGTGTCCAGTGGGGCCGGCAGGGTCACCCACTGCCCCTTGCTGTGGATGGCAGACGTGAGGGGAGCCCGAGGTGGAGGTGGGAGGCTGCCGAAGGCCTCTCCTGGCACCTGCAGGGACATGGCATGTCACCAAGAGTCGGGGCAGTGCCAAAGCCCCTGTGCTGTCACTGGGAGCCTCCAGCTCCATGCAGGGCCCCGGGGTGGGGGTGGGGGGGGTTGGGAGGCAGAGACCCCGACCCAGGGCTTAGGGCGGGGGCAGAACTCTGGAATGGGAGAACTGTAGTCCATGGGAGTTACCCACTTGGGCCTCAGTCTCCTCATTTGGAAAATGGGTCACTGCAGGGCCTGGGTGGGAAGATGCATGAGAAGCCCTGGGCAAGGGCCGTCACGCACCCAGGTCTCCAGAAACGTGCTCCCTTCCGCCATGTGGCCCACCCCCGCAGAGCCTGGAAGAGGGACACCTTTTGTCCCCGGGACTCACTGTCTGCAGGTTGTACCATGTGCCAGAAGGGAAGTAGCCAGTCACTTGGACCTTCCCAGCCTCAAGCACGGGGGTGATGAGCACAGCTGCCCCCCACAGGAGCTGCTGGTCCACGGTCCAGGTGCGGGGGTCCTCGGGGAACCTTCCAACAGGAGGGGCGGGCGCCTGGGCTTGGTGACCTCTGAGGTCAGTGTGTTCAGGGGGCCCTCAGGGAAAAGCGCGAGGAGCCAGAGGGCGCTGGGCGGGCCACGGCGAGGCGGGACCCAGCCGCTGGAGCTCGGCGTGGGGGGTGGGCAGGCCCTCTCCCCAGCCACACACTCCGGGCAGGGTGCCGTCCGTGGCTCCCGCGTGGCAGACTCTTCCTGACCACCGGTCTGCTGCTGGCTAGTCCCGGTCCTACCACCGGTCTGCGTCTTTCGTGTGAGTTTGGGACACTGACCGCCCTAGTTTGTTTGTCTTTATAATTCTGCACTGAGGAAAGTCCTAATATTCTGTTTCTGTTCAGAGGGATATAACTTATTTTCCTAAATTCAGCCCCGTCCCCCTTGTCTTTTGCTTCTGAGGCTTAAAAAGCTCTCTCCTGCCAGAGCACTGAGAACCATTCGCTTCTGTGTCCCATGGAACTTTCTAGACCTTAGGTTTTGACGTTTAAGTATGTAATCCACTTGGAACGTAGGTCTGCACAGCACGAGGGGAAAAATGGATTTTTGCAGACAGCTAACAGATCTGTACTACGCGGGACTCTGGTCCACTGACTGGACGTGACGTTTTATTGCAGGGCAGCTGTTTACGTATCTGAGTCCTACCTGGGGGACGTCAGTTGGGGTTCTCCCGAGGTCCTTCCTCCCTGTAAGCCAGCCCCTGACGGTTTTATAACTTGCTCTACCACCTGGTTGGCCTGCTCTGTACTTGGTGTCCTTCACCCTGGGTTTTCAGGTACCTGGGATGCCCCCAGCCCTGAGCTGCAGTCTCACGGGTGGAAGTCGGGGTGCAAAGGGCCTCCCTCGGCTGCACTGGCCCCCCGATTCCGGGGACCACTCCCCCCACCCCCCGCAGCAGGATGGGGCCGCCCCGGTGCCGCCAGGCTGGTGGCCAGCCTGTGGGCTCTTGCTCCCCGAGCCCAGGCACTCACTCCAGGAAGAGGGGCCGGGCCACGGTCTCGCCCAGGACGTGGGCCCGGTGGAACAGCAGGTACAGGTAGGGCAGCAAGGCGTAGCGCAGGCTGAGGGCCTTCCGCATGGCTTCCTGCGCGGTCTCGCTGAACCTGTACGGCTCCTGAGGCTGCAGTGGGGGAGAGGGAGGGGGGCAGCGGGGCAAAGGGGGAAGCACCTGGCCCTCGGGCCACGAGGTCCCTGCCTCTGCCCCGGGAGACCCGGCCTGCTGGTACGGACGCCAGGCCGTGCTGCTGCGCCCGCGGAGGGACCCCCAGGGCAGACCCCCACCGGCCCCGCCGGCCCCTACCAGGCTTTTGAGGTCGTTGTGATTCCGCATGAACGGGTAGAAGGCCCCCAGCTGGGTCCAGCGGACACACAGTTCCTCCGAGGTGTTGCCCAGGAAGCCACAGACGTCGGCCCCGACCAGTGGCACCCCCAGCAGGTTGAACAGCAGGATTTCTGGGAGGGCAGAGTCAGACTGGGGCTCAGCTCCCCCTCCGCGACGGTCAGTACCGCGCTGGCCCTGGCGTCTTCCGCCCGTGGTCAGCAGAAGGACCTGCCTCGCAGACCACCTTCTGACACCCGGGGTGGGCGGAGCAGAACAGCCCGTTAGGGTTGACGTGTGTCCCCCCTAAGCGATGTTCGAGTCCTAACCGCCTGTGCTTATGAAGTGACCTTATTTGGAAAAAGGGTCTTTGCAGATGCAATTCAGCTGAGGCCACAGGAGGGGATCCTGCCCCAGGATGCCTGGTGGCCGCGTAAGAGGAAGCCCAGACACTGACGACACACGGGGGAGAAGGCCGAGCGAAGACGGAGGCGGGGACCGGAGGGGCAGCCCCACACTAAGGACACCGAGGGCTGCCGGCCACTCCCAGAAGCTGGGAGACTCGAGGAAGGGCTCCCCACTCCGACACCGCGAGTCCGACTGCAAGCCTCCAGGGCTGGGAGAGACCACGCTTCTGTTGCCGTGAGCACCCGGGGGAGCCGGTGCATGCAGCAGGGAGGTCGGCGAGCCCCTGAGCCGCTGGAGGTCCTCGGCCGGCGCCCACCCCACTGCTGCTCAGCAGGACCAGGCTGTGCTGGGCCCTCCCTCTCCTCAGGGTCTCCTCAGACACCAGCAGCCAACGAGCAGGACCCGACCCAGCCTAGGGCCGCGGGGGACCCTTGCCTGGCTTGCAACAGGTCCCGGGACCTGCATGACCTCTGCCACGGAACGATCAGTGCACGCCAGAGCTACAGCCTGAGACTCCAAGGTGGGCGTGGGGCCGGGAACCTAGCTCTCGAGGGGGCTTCAGAGGCTGGCCTGCAGGGGCGTGGGCCCTAGTGGGCCGCACCTCCCCCACGGTGAAATCAGAGCTGGTGGCATCTGTGGGCAGAGCCGGACAGCGGCTTCTGGAAGGAGGAATGGTTCCTCCCAGTGCTCGCCCAGGGCTTCCCCATGGCCCGAGGGTCTGCAGATGCATCCCACACGGCAGCAGGCCTGGGGCTACCACAGAGCTTCCAGGCTGGGGGTCTGGTGGAGGCTCAGCTGCGCGTGGTGACCCAGGGAGGTCACTCCAGCCCCTTCCCCAGAGCTCCTGAGCCGTCTCTGTGCCTGGCACACGTCAGCAGCATGAGAGCTCCTGAGAACTAAAGTCACATTCCTCTCTGCAGGTGGGGTGGACGGCACCTGCGGGCTGGGGGCAGGATGTGCTCACCAGGAGGGACATCACGAGAGGACAGAATGGGATGGCTTTGCAGGCAGCGGCCTGGCCGAATCGGAGATGGGAATGCTTGGAAACTCCAGCACTGCCCGCCAGAGCGGCAGAGCGCCCCAGGTGAGCTGACCCACACAGGTGAGCCCAGCCGTCCGTGGGCCTGCGGGCCTCACGCCCCACGTGAGGCAGCAGCGTCTCTCTGAGCCGAGCCGAGCCTGGCACTCGGTCTGCGCCCCGCTCCCCTCCGAGCGGCCGCTCCTGACAGGGGCTCTCACCTGGCACGGAGTACGACAGCTGCTCCCAGCTGCTCCACACATCCCCCGTCCAGTGGCCGGCGTATCGGCCGTGGCCGGCGAAGGTTGAGCGGGAGATCACAAAGGGGCGCGTCCCCCGAGCCCTCACGAGGGCCCTGTGCAGAGCGGGGAGACAGGGCAGTGCACAGCAGGGCTGCCCGGGAGCCCCCGAGTGGCCCCGCGCTGAATTGGGGGTGCAGCAGGGAGGCAGAGCGGGGAGTGAGCAGCCCAAAGGGCCAAGGCCAGGAGGAGGGAGGGGGGGCTCCACCCGAGCCGCCACGCCACCCTGCAAGGCGAGCCTGTCCCGGGAGGTCCCTCCAGGCTCCCGCTGGGCCTCTGTGCAGTCACCACCAGCCCCCCCTCAGAGGCGCGGGGCAGCCGTGAGCTCGGCCCTCACCTGTGGGAGGCGAGGGCTTCCGTCAGGCCGTACACGTTGTGCAGGTTGTAGTGCGTGGAGAGGAACTGGCGGCTGGAGGCACAGATGGTGGCGGCCCGCAGGGTCCCGCCAACCACCCCTGGGAGAGGGAGGCTGTCTCCGTCTGTGGAGCCTCCGCCTGGCTGGCTGGTGCCCTCCACATCCCAGGAGCCCCCTTGGAACTTGGGGTGTCCCCTTTTCCAAGGACAGGGATACGGTGGAGGCTGAGGCCGACCTTTGCAGACCGCAGACTTGACGTCCACCTGCTCCTGACCCGTTTCAAGTCTCTCCCCGTTCCTGTCCCTAAGCCCGAGACACCTTCCCTCTGAAGGGCCCCGCCCGGCCACAGGAGCCCGGTCCATGTGGCCCGGCTGACGTCTCGCCAACCCGACCTTCCTCCTGGGGTTGCCCTCCCCTTTCCAGGGCGGCCGTGCCCATCGGCTCCGCAGAAAGGAGAGCTGGCATGTGGGGGCAGGTGGGAGAACTCACCTGGCACGTAGGGCGGGTTCTCCAGGTCGTTGTCGGGGCAGCCATCCACAGAGCCCTTTACGAAGTTGGAGGGCTCGTTCATGTCCTGCAAAAAGAGGCCCTGGTGTTGGGCGCCCTGCCCTGGGCAGACGCTGGGGCCGGTCCCCCAGCCCCCGGGACACTCACGATCCACATGCCGTCGAAGGGCACCTGGGCGTGGAACTCAGACACCATGTCCTGCCACCAGTCCAGGGCCTCGGGGCTGGTGAAGTCGGGGAAGGCGGTGAATCCGGGCCACACCTGCAGCAAAGGCCAGAGGGGAGACCAGGCCCCCCCAGAGCTACGGCCTTGCTCGTCTGCCTGGGGGTGTAAAGTCTGTGGAGGTGAGGGCCGGCGGCGGTAGGGGCGTGGGGGGGGAACGCAACGGAGACCTCACTTTCAGACAGAGGCCCCGGAACCGGGTCGCGGACATCTGCACCCCCGGCAGCCTCCCCGGCCTCCCCTCAGCTGGGACCCCCTTCCCCTTGGTTGCGGGCACGCCCTGGAATGGGAAGGTGGGGACTCTGCCGGGTGCCCCCGTAGGAAGGCCTGGGAAGCCCCCGGGGGCCTGAGGACACGGAGACGTTTGCTAAGGGTCAGCAGAGCTCGTGCCTGGGCTGGGCCCAGCTGCCCACAAGGTCAAGGGCCCCCGATGGAATGATTCGCGGCGGTATCAGGAGCCCCCGTCACTTCTAACTGTGACCACCCCCCTCCCCCTGCCCTACACAACAGGATGGTTTTTTTAATCCATCGTCTTTCTGAAAAGCGAGCGCCCTGGGGCCACTGGCTGGGGACTCGCGCTTTCTCAGCCCCTGCCGCCCGGCCCCCACCCTACCTTCCCAATCAGAGGTTGCCCGGTCTCGTTGGTGATGAAAACCCTCCTCCGCAGACCCTCGTCATAGGGACGGTAGCTGCCGGGGGGGCTGGAGCTGCTGATGGCAGGGTCCTGAGTGGGGTGTGGGGGGAACCAGTCAGGAGGAGAAGGAAACGCTCCAAAGCCAGGCACCGATTACGGGGGAGGTGAGAAAATGCTCTCGATACATCGTTGGGAAGAACATAAGCCAGGAGGGCGCGTGCACGCGTGCACACGCACACGTCTGCTGAGAGCCCAGCCCGCGGGGCCCCTGGATGCACGTTTTGGCTCTGCTTTACGGGTTCTAGAGTTTCACAAACGGTCTACGGTGAACACTGATTTCTTTCAGAATAAAAGAAGGTCTGCATCTGCCCTCCCTGCCCTGAGTGGCCACGGATGCTGGCAGCGCTCTGAGGGGCCGAGCTGAGGGAAATGGCCCACGTCAGCACGATTCCGACCTCCAGGCAGACCAGATTCCTCCGCTGTGGGGTGTCCGCCGTGCAGCCCCTCAGCCTCAGCGCCCCTTCCCCATCTCCTCTGGCCAGGTGGCTGGGCACTCAGCCCGGCCGCACCGGCACTCTGGCTGCCGGGACTGGCCCTGGGGGACTGTGGCCACTCGGAGCCCAGCCCTGAGCCTGGCCCTCCTTCCCGTGAGGCAGAACTGAGTAGGGGAGAGGCTGGGCCACGAGACACTCAGAGCCTCCGTGGCTCCAGCTGCCCGGGCATGCAGCTCTACCCCGGCCCTCCCAGTACTGAGGGACGGGAGCCAAGCGCAAACCCCCTGCTTGAAGCCGTTCATGTAACCTACAACCAAAGGGATCCCGAGCGACAGATGTTTCCAGGGCCCCTCAGGCTGGACATCCCCATCCCAGGGACCCAGTCGGTATGTCTGATGTTCCCTCAACAGCCAAGACCCTCAGGAAACGTCCCCAGTGACCACGGCAAGCACGAGGCAGCTGAGGCACTGGGTCTCTTCCCCGCCCAGAAAGGCAGTCCCACGCGGCGTGGGACAGGAGGGCCACTCACCACGATCATCACGTACCGCCGGCCATCCTGGTGGAGATCCTGCACCATGGCCGGGAAGTCCCTGAAACCGTCCTTGTTGAAGGTGAAGTCCCTCCTGGCGTCCATGTAGTCCAGGTCATTCCACTGCGTGTCCTGCAGCCGGCACGGGGAACGCTGCAGCCGGCCTGGGGGCCTGCGTCCCAGCCCAGCCCCCCAGCACGCCCTCCCGGCACTCACCAGGGGGAAGCGGGCCCTGGTCATGTTCTCTACCACCTGGCGGGTGATGGCGGTGGAGGAGTAGCCCCAGCGGCAGAGGTGGAAGCCCAGGCCCCAGTACGGCGGCATGAACGGGTAGCCTGCAGCCGGGGAGGGGGGCTCCGTGAGCAGGCCGGCAGCCGGAGGGGAGGAGGGACGGGACGGGGGAGGGGAGGGGCGGCACGGGGCCGGGGAACAGGCCTACCCACGACTTCCAGGTACTGCTGCACCACGCTCTTGGGCTCAGGGCCTAGGAAGATGTACATGTCCAGGATCCCACCTGTCGACCTCCAGCTGAGGGCCGGGCTCGGCTGCAGGACCACATCTGGGGGAAGCAGCCCTTGGGGCTCAGGAACAAATACCCGTGCCCCCTTCCCCCCACCCCTGCCCCCGTGGCACCTTGAAGAAGGGCCACATCCCACCCAGGGAAGCTGGGAGCAGCCTGCTTAGGGCCTGGGGACAGTTCCCCTGAGCCAGACTGCTTGAAGAGCCTGGAGCAGAACAGACCCCAGGACCCCCCTTGCTGGCCTCTGCTCAGAACAGGGGTCCCAGAGCGCTCTTCGGGGTACCCAAGGACAGAGCTGGCAGAGGCCACAGCCCACTGGACTCATTTCTGGGCAGTGCAAACAAGGCCCGGCGCCCTGCCCATGGCCCCATCCTCTACCGCTAGCCTGTCCCAACCGGTGCAGACAGCCCCGCGCTCCCCCCACAGAGGGGGTGCGGCCAGCCCCAGGGAAGCCGCTGGCCTGGGGGCCCAGAGGGAGCGCCAGCTACGGGACACGGGGACCAGGGTGTGTGCTAGTGGTGGTTGCCCACCTGCTTACCCATGGCATTGCTGTTCAGCAGGAAGACCCCGTGAGCTGACCCGCCATCCTCCAGCACCAGGTAGAAAGGATGCGACCCATACAGGTTCACGTTGGGCTGGGCATGTGGACACAGCATGTTAGCGCCCTCACCCACATGGTGTGTCTAATCCCCTCCTTGCTGCCCCCTTTACCGAGGGGGCGATGTCCCGGTTCCAGAGGGTGATCTTGGTCCAGTTGGTGCTGAGCATCAGGGAGCCGAGATGCTCGGCAAGGCCCGTGATGTGCTGGGACGGCAGGGAGGTGGACAGCTGCAGAAACTGGTCGGCGAAGAACAGGGGGGCCACCGTCGTGTTCAGCCTGCCGGGAAGAGCCCAGGCAGCCTTGCAACCTAGGCAGCCAGATGACCCCGAGATGGACCCTCCCAGAGAGACCCCTGGTGCCCCCTGAGGAGGGCTGGAGTGGCCTGGCCACCTCTGTGACACAATGACCCCAGGACAGAAGCAGCCACTGGAGGCCCAGTGACCCTTGGGACCTGACCCAGGTGTGGACAGCTCCCATAGCACTACCTGGCTATGCCCACATTGCCCCAGGTGGGCATCCAGCAGGGGACTGCCCCATAAGCCCTGGCCGCAAGCAGGTACCGGGCAAGGGCTGCTCGAACCCTTCCAGTCCTAGGAGTTGTGGCCCCGAGCTCCTTCCGCAAGGGCCAAACTGCTCCCAGACCCCAGCCATGACCTTCCCCAGAGCCATGGAACTGTCCACCCAGGGGTGGCCAGGACCCCGAGGTTGCACAGGGTCAGGGCGAGGCAAGAACCACAGATGGGGCACGAAAGACCTATTAATACTGATTTCACGGAATGATGTCCCATTGCACCCTGCCTGCCCCTGGGCAAGACGTGTGTTTTCAAGACCAAAGTCTGATTAAATGCTTCAGAAAACTTCTCTCCGATCTCTGCTCAAAGGTCAGCTTCCTAGAGAGGCCTTCTGTAGCCCCTCACTCCAGAGCCAGCCCTGCCCTCTGCATCTGCACAGCTCCTTTCTAGAACTTTGTTAGCATTGTTACTCCTGACATCATACTTGGCTTCACTCACTGCCTCTTCCCACTGTGTCAGCCCTGGGGGCAGCTCCATACCGCTCGGCCAAGAATGGGCAGAAAAGAAACGCATTTCAGGAGGTGAGTTCTCCTAAGATTAATGCAAGCTCATTTCCGAATATGTAACTTAGTCTAGTGACAAAGAAGAACCTTGTCAGCCCAGGGCACATATTTACGTAGGACTGTGTGGACAAAGCACACAGGGTGCGTCCTGTGAAAATGTGCTTGCATAATCCACCGTCAGGATAGACAGGGGGCATCAGCAGAAGCGCTGCCCCGGCCCATGGCTCTGGGAGGGAACATGTCCAACACTGGAAGTCATGGCTACCACTCTGGATTCCAGGATGCTTTGGTGCTTCCAATTCCCAGGGTGTGATGGGGGCGGTGGAGGTGATGCATCCCCTGGAGGCGAGGGCATGACCAACCGATGCCCTCACCCTTGCTACACATCCATGAGCGTCTGCTGTGGGTCAAAACCTCGTTAGGAGCTGGAGGCCCAGGAGTGAGCTTCCAGAATGGGAAAGGCTCCTTGGCGGGCAGACAGCAGCGATTTGGACAAACCTAAGATCTCAGGGGGACACAAGTCCCAGGGGGACGTGAAACAGAGCGGCCAACAGCATGGATGCCGGGCCCTGGCTCAGAAGCTGCCAGCAAGCCGCCTCAGTCTCCCCGTCCAGACAGTGGGGATGGTAACAGCACTACTTCTGAGCTGTCGGGGTGCCGGATGTGCCTAAGTGACACACGGTAAGTGACGATCAATAACACACACGCGAACGTAAAGCGGTGAGGGGACGTTGCCTGCGGTAGAGGTGCCGTTTCTCACCGGACTGAGGTTTCTCAGCCTTGGCACTTTTGACATTGGGGTGGGAGTGCTCTGCTTGGTGGAGCCATTGCCAAAGGTCCCCTAGAGGATGGCTCCCCCAGCAGGCCCTACCTGGGGGGCGTGAGGAGGGCATCTGCAGGGGGTTGCTGAGGGACCTGAATGAGGTGAGGGAGGGCTCCAGGCAGAGGCAGCAGTGAAGAGCCCCAAGGGAGGGTGGGGGGACAGTGCCCTGGCACCTGGGGTGGGGGCACAGAGACCAGCACTCACAGCACCCGGCCATCCAGCTTCCGGTGCACGACCACCCCAAAAGGCTCTTCCTGGAACTCCATGCTGTAGAGTGTGGACGAGGCCCGGCTGCGGACACGTGGAGTCTCCAGGGGCACCTCGTAGCGCCTGTTGGCGGGATCCTTGATCTAGGAGTCAGATGGTAGTGCCATGAGGCTCTCTGGGGGCCAGCACACCTCCCCCTCCTTCCTCACCCCCCCAAGGCCCAGTGTGGCCATACACAGCATGTGAGCACCAACAGTTTGGTCAACCAAGCCTCTTGTTTCCTCACGTCCAGATCCCCGTGTGGGTCGCCAGGGAAGACACACAACACCCAGTCAATCTGAATTCCAGATAAACAACTCTTCCCAGTATGTCTCAAATATCGCATGAGACATACACTAAAAAAAAAATCCATTCCTTGGTTTTCTGGAATTCAAAGTTACTGAGTGCATCCTGCATTTTTATTTGCTGAGTCTGGCAACACTGTTCCACCCAGCGTGCCTGTCACAGGGTGGCTGAGAGATTAGATTAGAGCACCCAGCTCAGCTCTGCCTGCTACGCAGTGATCACTCAGTAAATGTTGGCTGTTAGAAATTACTTTGTTAAAATTATTATGGATTGTGTGCTTCAGGCTCTCTCGGCTTGGCCTCCTCACGTTCAATCCTTGGGTTTCTGCTGGGCAACTGATACGTGCCAGACTATGTTCCAGGGGCTGGGAATCAGCACGGAGTAAATCAGACAAGAGGTCCTGCCCTCAGGCGCATGGACGATCATCATATTCCACTGCCCACTGCCCGGAACATTCCCCCCAACCTCCCTGTCCCCCTCTCCCCTTGCTGACTCTGTCCTGTAGGACTTCAGGTCCCTGGTGGGATGTCACTTACCGGGGGAGACCTGACCTCCCTCCACTGTCCCCTGAGCCCTGCCCTCTAGAGCATGTTCTAGAACCTTCTAATCAGTGTCTTAGTGGCCATTGCTCCCTGAGTGTAGGCACTCTGTGCTCACTCCTGGACTCCAGGTGAAGGCACACAGCACATTTGCACACCAAACCAACACTTCATCCGCAGCCCACCCACGTTTTCTCTGCCCCCATCTGGCCCTGCCCACCGTGAAGTGAAGCCGGCTCTCCGTCTCCAGCAGCACGTCCAGCCGTAAGGTCAAGATGTCCTTGGGGAAGAAGGTTGGGGTGTTGCGGGTCAGGGTGGCCGTGTAGCCTGTCTCTGTGGTGGTCAGGTTCTCCAGCTTGTAACTCGGGTAGCTGGGTGGGAAGAAGCACCAGGGCTGCCCCATCCGGGGGACCTGAGGCCACTGCCTTGCAGGCCGGTAGCAACAGCCCCGGGCCTCACACTGCTCCTGGGTGATGGCCTTGTCGGGGGCACAGTCGAAGCGGCTGTTGGGGGGCACATCGCACTGTGTGGGTGCTGCTCGGGGACTGCCGTGGTGCCCTGGGGTGGGCTGGGGGCCTGGGTCACTGGATCCCTGCTGGCGAGCACGATAAAGCTCCTCAGGTACTTGGGAGAAGCCACGCTGCTCTTGGGGGACCACCAAGAAATCTCGGAGCAGGACGTGCCCCAGGAAGGCAGCGCTGGCCAGGGAGACAAAGGTGCAGACCCCCAGCAGGGGGCGGGAGCTGGGAGGCCACCTCACGTCCATGGTCGCTGGCACCAGCTGGCAGCCGGCTGGGTCCTGGAGGCCTGCCAAGAGAGGAGCAGGGCTCAGCAAGGAAGGCGGGACGGAGTGGCCGGGGGTGGTTCAGGAGGCTCTCACAGCTTCCGGATGTGGACCTGTGGCTGGCCCGGCAGTGCCCAGGGTGCGGTGTGCCGAGAACGCGAGGCAGGCGAGGATGGACAAGCTCCCGGCACTGTTTAGAAAGACAGCAAGGGAAGGGAAAAGGGAAAGCCGAGGAAAGCCCCAAATAGGGAGTTTCGGAATACCCTGTACTGTGAGAGCTTACAGATGAAAATGCGCTTAAAATGTGCATAAAATGATTTAAAGACATGCGAAGACCTATGTGGGAGGCTGACAAATGGAATATACAAGTCACAACACGCGGAGCAGAGAGGGAGCCCTGTTTCTGCAGAGACTGTGGCTGAGTCACTCCGTTTTGGCAAATGAGCTGGAAGTGGAAGGGCCCTCGGGGAGACCCACCACTTTCTCTCCGCCCCTCTTCTGCTGCCCCGGGTGTGGCTACAGCCCGGTAAGAAGTCTTGGGCACGGGGCGCCTGGGTGGCTCAGTTGGTTAAGCGACTGCTTTCGGCTCAGGTCATGATCCTGGAGTCCCGGGATCGAGTCCCACATCGGGCTCCCTGCTCGGCAGGGAGTCTGCTTCTCCCTCTGACCCTCTTCCCTCTCGTGCTATCTCTCATTCTCTCTCTCTCAAATAAATAAATAAAATCTTTAAAAAAAAAAAAAAAGAAGTCTTGGGCACGGCAGCCGAGGGCCACACTCCCGGGACAGCCCCCAGGCCCCAGCAGGTGGAAGGCCCTCCCTGCCCCTGCGGTTAGGTGCGGAGCAGCCCCTCTCTCTGGCTCCTCCGGAGCTAAGTCTGTTACTACCTGCATTTTGCTTCTCTGTATGTTCTAAATATTTTATAATGAACACTGTTGGCCCAGCTCCTCCGAGGAGCAAGATACCAAAAAGACCAAACGGGCAAGGATTTAATTAGGGGCGTCCTTTCTCTCCGAGAGAAAATGGGGAGGTTGCCAGGGAAGGGTGGGAGAGCTGTCACCTCCCCCAGGCAAGATCTGACCTCAGGGAAGTCAGGAGCCGAGGGGAGGGGTGGTTGGGGCCATGCATCCCGGATTGCCTGCCGTGTAGGCTAAGGAAGGTTCTGCAAGGCCACGGGTCTGGCAGGAGGACCCGAGCCAAAGCTGGCCATTAGCGGGGCCGAGGTCTCCCAGAGGTGGCCTGCCCTATTGTCGTGGGCTGGGAAGCAGGCTGGCCCTGGAGCGGATGCGTGCAAGCTCCGTGTGGCGGGAGGCCTGGGGGACGCTTGCACCCTCGGGCCGCCAGAAACATGCAAGGACTGGGGAAAGTCACATGCTAGCAGAAGTCACTGAGGGCCCGAGGGAGTCTGAGCTTGTCACACACTCAAACCAGGCCCTTGGGACATTTCTGGCCACAGTGGGCCACTGCTGGATTGGGTGCACGAGTGAACTTTTATTCACAAACGTGGGTTTTTCCCTCACGCCAACCAACTGTCCCATTCTCCCCATGGCCAGCTGGGGGCCCAACGATTCACTCCAACCCTGACACAAGTCCCGGAGTCGGCGCAGACCCCACAGGTGAGGCCTCAGCCCCACAGGACGGTCCCCCTTCAGACCCCAGACACAAGCCCCACGTTGTCACTCGCACTTCTGACCAAATAACTGGCTCTAAATTTGAGGGTTCGCCCCCCTCCCCCACCCACCTCCAGTCTGATGATTGGCTAGCACACGCAGGAAAGGGCTTTACTTACTGTTACCCGTTTATTGTAAAGGATGCGGCTCAGGAACAGCCAGAGGTCGTGGGATGGACGTGGGATGGGGGGCTGCGTGGGTGCGGAGCCTCCACACCCTCTCTGGGCAGGCCACCCACCCTCCCACACTGAAACGTGTTCACCAGCTCAGAAGCTGTCCAAACCCCAACTAGTTTTGGTTTCATAACCTAAGCACAATTGAGTAAATCACTGGCCATTGGCGATTATCAATCACCAGCCCTCTGTGCTCCCCAGAGGTTGGGGGTAGGGGAGGTGGGGCCGACAGTTCCCACCCCAGAATCCTGCCTCCTGCTTCTGGGGACTAGGCCCCAGCCGAGGCTGTCCAGAGGCCCTAGCCACCAGTCATTCTATTAGCATATAAAAGACACTATCACTGCCAAGATTCCCGGGGTCTTAGGAGCTGTGTGCCAGGACCTGGGGACAAAGACTACATGTATTTTTTATACCAGTGTCCAGCTGCACCTGCCCCCATCCAGACACACGTGACACCCTGTGATCACGGGGAGGCAGGGACTAGGGAACTCACCCTTGGGAGCTCTTGGGCAGTGCCCGTGGCCCTCCCCACCCAAAGTTCAGGAGCGCAGGGGTGGCCAGGGGTGCCGCAGGGCCAGCACCGGTCCCCTGCCGCTGTGTCCACTCTGCACAGGGAAGAGACACTAGAAACGGGAAGGGCTGTCAACCAGAAGGCTTGACAATTTAGACAAAATGGGGAAAAACACAGAAGGTCAGGAGGTCAAGTGGCGCTGCGGGCCGGGAGGGCCTGTGACCTCCCTTTCAGGGAAGTGGCTCGGAGCGGCTGCTCCCCGCCCCCCCCCCCCGCAAGGGTGGTGGTGTAGACAAGCCGGGTTCAAAGTCCAGCTGTGCCCTGACCAGAGAGGCAGGGTCCTTACCCTGTGCCTCAGTTTCCTCCCCAGAATGGGGCAAGGCAGCGTCCGTCGCCCAGCACCGAGGGCGTGGATGAGACCGTGGAGTCCCCGGGGTCCCCGTCGTTAGCCGCCGCCCGCCGCCCGGGGACCCTGGCACGACGCGCTCAGCTTCTCCAGTAGCAAACCACAGAGAAAACTCCGTCGATCGATCGGTCCCTCCCCCTTAGGGAGTCACGGCTGCCCCGACCGCCTAGCCCCTAGTCGGAGCTGGCGCCGCAGTCCGTCCCCGCCCCGCCCTTCACTGGGGCCCCCACAGCCCCCCGGTCCGCTCACCTCCGAGCACGCGCGCCCGGCCTGGGCCCCCTCCCGCTCACCTCCGCGCACGCGCGCCCGGCCCGCCTCCCTCTCCGACCCCCACTCCCCGCCGCGTTGGTCTCCGCGCACGCGCGCCCGGTCCGGCCCCCACTCCCAACCCCGCCCCTCCTCACAGCTAGCCTCCGCGCACGCGCTCCGGCCCGCAGCGGCCACCCGGCGTCAGGCGCTAGCAAGCACGCGCCAGAGGGGGCGGGGCGGACCGGGTGACAGGCCGCCGGCACAGGCGCCCGGGACGAGGGTGTGCGTCTCCGGCCGCGCGCGCCCCCTGCTGGCGGGGCTTCACCGTCCCCGCCGGCCGCCCAGGCCGGGAGCCTGGGAGGAGGACGAGCGGCGCGCACCTGCCGGGACGCGCGGGCAGGGCAGGGACTGGGCGCCGGCCTTGGAGCCTCCCCGACGGGGACCGCGGGCTCGCTCACTCCGTAGCCCGTCAACCGAAGCCGTTCGGGAAGGGAAAGCGTCTTCGTACCCCGAAAAGCGGCGGCCGTGCGACGTGGCCTGGCGCTTCGAGGGGCGCCTCCAGCCGCGAGGGTGTGGCGCGGGCGGGGCCTGTTTCTGACGCGCTGGCGGATAAAGACGCCTTTCTGCCGCATTCAGAAAAAATTTTATTTTTCTGCTGGAAAGTTTGAAAGTGAAATGGTTTTGTAGGCCCTTTCCCAGGATGGCGCGGAGAAGCCGCCAGGTGGCAGGTGCTCAGGACGCGGGGCGGGGGCGAAGTCACCCCAGGGGATCACACGAGGGGTGAGAACTGCGCGGGGACAGCTGGGGAGGTGGTGCGTCCTCGGGGCGCCGGGCACCTCCCCGCTCTCCATCGGGCCCTCCTCCTGGACACCGCACACCGGACTCTGAAGCAGGACCGGGGCATAAGGAGGAGGCACCGTGGTCCCCTCTGGTCACTCTCAGGGAGGAGGCGGGCGCCTTCCCGAACCCCGAGTTAAGTCCAGCGTGGGGTGGAAGACTCCCCGAAATGCCACCGGAAACGCTGGGAGTCGACTTGGTTGGAACGGCTGGGGGGCTGAAAGAATCCGGATCTGCCGTGCGGGCCTACCTGTTTCTCTAAAAGGGCATCACTCTCTGAGGTTGGACGTGGCTTGATACACAGAATTCTGGTCTCTTCCACGGGGGGAAGGCGGGGAGGAGCAGGCCGTGGAAGGGGTGGGTCCAGGCTGCTCTCTAGGGGGACTCAGACGGCTGGAGCTTGCTGGCGATGGTCTGGCTGACCTTGAGCAGGGCCTCCTGGAACTGGGGGTACTCATCCTTCACGTGGTCGAGGATGGTGCTGATGATGGCCAGCCGGTTGTCCAGGCGCCCGTGCTCGGCCAGCAGCGACTGCTTGGAGCGGAACAGGAACACGTACCTCCCGTCCTTCACAGCCTGGAGGTGCTTGACCCGCGTCTGCAGGGCCACCAGCTCCGAGAGGTTCTTGGGTGGGACAAAAGACCCTGCATGAGGTTATGCAGTTTGAAACAGGACACCTACTGCTCCCACACAAAGTCAGGACTGCAGGAAATGCCAGGGGGAGAAGAGGCTGATGCGCAGTGAGCTGGGCCTTTTCCTTTGCCCATTGTCTGAGAGACATTTGATAACGCTGGGTGCTGGTCCCACAGGGGACACTTCCCTGCGCTCCCTCCCCCATCTCTGCTGATCAGGCTTGGACCCTGCAGACCCACTTGGCCCCACTCTTCTGCTCACACCACATCCAGTCTAGCAGGAAATCCCACTGGAGCAGCTGAAATTACATGCAGAATCCCACAGCTTCTCACTAGCCTTCATGGCTACAGCCCCGGTTCGTGCATCACCTCAAGTAGGCTTCCCTTGTCTACCCTTGACCCTTCAACATCAGAACCGGAGTGATCCTCCTAAATCTGAGCCATGCCTCAGCCCCAAACCCTCCGCTGTCTTCCCACACCCCTGAGAAGAGCCCAAAGTCAAGATCACCACCGCCCCCTGGCCGTGCAGAGCATGGGGTGTGGTCTCTCTGCCCTCAGGTCCAGCCTGCTGGCCTCTGGCTGCCCCTAGAGTGGTCTCCTGACCTGCTTTACCCAGCCAGCTCACTCCCTTGCTGCCTTCAAGTCTGGACTCAAATGTTTTCTCGAACTACCCTACTTAATCCCCCCCGCCACCACCACGCCCCCCCCCAGTGCCCTTTCTCTGCTTTATTTTCTCCGGAGTATTTATCACCATCTAACACGAGCTATCTTTTTCATTCATTTTGTTTATCATGTGTCCCTCTGTCCTCCCTCAGGAGGCCTACTCTGTAGCCTTAGCACCCAGGGCAGTGCCTGGCCCATAAGGGCATGTGAGGTGAGCGAGTGATCACAGAGCGATGGGCAGTGCTGCGATCCCTGGGCTTAACTGCGTCTGGAGGAGGCCTTGCCCGAGGGCGCACTGCTGCTGTGAGGGGCAGGCTCCATGCCTGGCTGCTTGTGGCCCTGGTGTCTCGGGGCACTGGCCTACCTGTTGCTTGAGGGCCAAGAGCCGGTCCAGGTCGGCCTCGAGCTCGTCGATGCTGGACTGCACTGTTGACAGCTGTTCCTGCTTCTCCAAGAGGGAGCTGCTCAGGTTTTTCTGACTTTTCTCCAGTTCCAAGATGGCTTTCGTGCACTCCTCGGTGGCCTGGGAGATAGATGGGACCATCCTGGGACCCTGCCTCCTGGTTACTTAGTGGGCAGAGTCAGGCCAGAAGGACAGAATCCGGGGAGGATCTCCACGAGGGCAGAGGGGGTCTCTGCCCCTCAGGAACCAGGACCTGGAGGGGTGAGTCCCAGTGAGACGCCAGGGCCCAGGTAAGCCCACACTGCAGGCTGCTCCCCAAAGGCAGGTGTGGCTGGGAGAGAGAAATGGGGGTCCCCCTCTGGAAGCAGGTCTGTCTGCAAGGGCACAGGGACCAGGGGCGGCTGGGCAGCTGCATGCCAAGAGTGGGAGCAGGAGATGCCTGGGGCAGGAGCTAAGGCCTCGCGGGGTGGGGGGTGTTCGGGGTGGCAGTGGAGGAGGCCTGGCTCCATCACAGTGAGGTTGGGCAGCCGGGGCTGGTGGGGAAGCAGCTGGTGGGGTCCAGGGGATAAATGAAGTAGAGGTGACAGAGTGACTCTCAGGGTCTAGCTGGGGACACGGAAGAATTTGGGATGTGCAAAGGGCCAGTCTGTGCACAGACGCTGGCAGTCTTGCTGGGTGTGGCACATGGGGGGAGTGCATGGCAGGAGGACTTGGATGCAGCCCACCTGGAGCTGGAGCTGAGCAGGGGTCGGGGATGGCAGGGCAGAGGTGGCAGCTGGGGAGCCCCGGGGTGGAGAGGAATGGACATCATGAGTGACCGGCGTGGCAGAGAGGATCGGCCAACAAGGACCAAGAAAAGGCCATTCTGCTGCCCCCAGTAACTTCCAAATGAGCAGTTGGGTCAAGCTTGTCATTTTCAGTTCATCTCTCCCTGTACAGGACTTAGACCTTCAAAGGCTATGCCAACAGTCTCCATGTAATCCTTTGGACAGCTCCACGAGGTGAGTACCCATTTCACAGGTCAGGAAGCTGAAGCACAGAGCTGTCAGGCAACATTCCTGAGCCTCGAGCGGAACAGATTGTCTGGAGCTCAGTGGGGCTCCGAGACCAGGTTCTGTCTCAAGTGAGCCTTCACCTACCCGGGAGGGCATTACTGCTCATATTTCCACCCAGCAGAGGCGGAAATGCGGGCTTAGAAAGGTCCCACAGACGCCCAAGGTAGCAGGGGGCTGAGGGAGTCTGAGCCAGAGCCCGGTGACGGCCGAGGGAGTGGGTGCTGGGCAGGGCACACGCCACATGCTTGCTGATATGGCCTGGGGCACGAGGATGTGGACCCTCCGAGTGCCCATCAGCCTGTCCCCAGCACCCAGTCGGGGTCAGAGACACAGGGACTCACACGTGAGCCATGGTTCAACACGCTGTGCGTCCCGGATGCCATTTCTGTGAGGCGGTAAGGCACTGAAATCTGGCCATCTTGGCCCTGGGCAGCACTGCTCTGTGTAGCTCTTCTGTTAAACCCAAGACAGACTCGCAAAGAAAGGGCCTGTCGTAGCCCGGCCCCCCTCAAGGGCCCAGTGACAGCCACTGCATTTTTACCCAGAACCGGCACGTGGGTCATGGGGCTCAGGCCCAGAGGGTACAGGGGACAGCCGGCTTGTCTGGTTCCAGAGCCAGGCTCCTTCCACCCACAGCCCCCTACTGCCACTTCTCAGCCTCGTAAAACAGCCCCACACAGCAGCCCTGATTCCAGCTCTGGGAATGGGGGCAGGAGAAGGGGCAGTGCTGAGAAACAGGCTGGAAGGACAGTGCGACCAGGTCCCCGGCATGCTTCCCCCTTGTCGCAAGGCCCCCACCTTGTGAACGTCCCTGATCTTGCGTTGCAGCTCTGTCTGCTGGTGGTGGAAGTCCGTCCGGGTGAGCAATTTCTTGTCCATCTTGGACTGCCCCTTGGCCTGAGTCGAGATGGTCTCTCTGCGGGCGACGACCAGCTCCATGTCACGGATCATCTTCTCCTGCTGCTTCAGCAGCTGCCCATGCCTGACCTGGGTACACAGGGCAGAGGGGCCGTGAGGGAGAGTGGCCAGCGCCGTCTCCACTACCTCTGCGGAGACCTGACCCGGCAGGGAGACAGCGAGGGGAACGTGCCTGAGGACAGAGGGATCTGGAGCCATTGCCCGCCAGTCAGAATGATTTGAAGGTCCATGTAAAGAATGCACAAACGGGGAAACTAGAAACTGTCAGAGGCCAGGGTAGGTTCGCAGACCAAGGACCGCCACATGTAGCCTGGGCAGGATTCTGGAGCAGAAAAGAGACAGTAGCCAAGAGAACAGGGACACCTGTACCAACATTGATTTCTTAGTCGTGGTTTTGGAAGATGGTGACGGGAAGGGTCTGTGGGACCGGGGCCGGGGCCCTGGTTGTCAAGGAGACTGACTGTAAGGGCCACATGAGGGCTTTCTCGAGTGCTAGGAGTGTCCTGTCTCGGTCGTGGGGGCAGCGATGTGGGCCCGGGCTAAACCCATCCAGCCAGACATTGAAAATAAGTACATCTCCTTGTGTGTATGTTCTGCTCCAGTGAATCTGATTCAGAATAAAAAAGGATAAACAGGCAGGAACCCCCAGGTCAAGATGGTGGTGGGAGACCTAGCCCAGCCGGGTTTAAAGTCTGCAGTGGCGGGAGCCCAGGATGGGGACGGCACAGATGGGTGGGGGGGCTGTTGTCAGCGCCACGTTGGCTCAGCGAGCGAGCACAGATTATCTGGGGATGCCAGCACGACTCACGCCCCAGCTGAGAGAACAGGGATGGGCCCCTACTTCACACCATGTCCAAAAATTAATTCCAGGTGGATTCAAGATCTAAAGGCATGCAAACATGTGCAGAGAACTTGGGAACGTATTTGTGTCATTTCAAGCTGTGGTGACCGTCTTGAGCAATCCGGGAAACCCAGAAGCCATGCAGAGAGACAGATGGGCCTTACAGCATGAACAGTAACGACCCCATGAGTGGGGAGAGACCCAGCGCAGAGAGCGCAAAGGCCAGCAGCCCAAGAGCGAGAACGGGTGGGAAAGGTGTCCAAGGCAGGGCGTAGGAACCGTGACATGCAAAAACTCCCTAAAATTGCCAAGAAATAAGAAAATGGAAATAGGAAATTGAGGAAGTGCTCACACACACACACACACACACACACACACACACACACGCTCAATACCCCGTAACAGAAAACGTGGAAGTATGAAGCTTCTAGAAGAAAACATAAGAGAAAAATCTTTGTGACCTTGGGCCGGGGAAAGATCTCTCAGATGCACCACCGGAATGACGCATGGAGAACGGAGCTGGACCTCACCAACATGACGAGTCTCAGATGTGTTACGGGGTGTGAGAAAAGCCACACTCAACAATAATAATTCATGCTACAGGGTCTGCTTCTGTGACATCCTGGGAGAGTTGGGGATGGGGACGTGGGAAGTGGAGCACAGGAGGCAGAGGGGACTCAAAGGTGACGGAGATTTGGGGTATCACAAATGGGTGGTTACGTGGTTGTAGGTTTTTGTCACAGCTCATGAGGCTGTGCCACCAAGGGCGAGCTCAGTTCAACACCTCAATTTAAAAATAAAGGCTCTTGGGCCAATGACACCCAGAGGTGCCCTGTTGGGACACGGCCGTCCTCGAGCGCCTCTTGGAGAAGTGATCTGTGGGGCTCTGGTCAAGAATGTACACTCCTCCGCCCTGTAACCCCACTTTTGGGGATCTAACCTACAGAATACAAACCAACCAACCCCAGTAAGGAAGGATATTATGGCAAGCATGAGGAACTGGGACAATATGGATTCTCATCACCTGGGAATGCTCCGAGAAAATAGGATATATCCGTAGAATGTTCTGTAACTGTTAAAACTGGGCTAATATCCATATTGTTTTTTTTATTTTTATTTCTTTAAAGATTTTATTTATTTATTTGAGCGAGAGAGAGAATGAGAGATAGAGAGCACGAGAGGGAAGAGGGTCAGAGGGAGCAGCAGACCCCCCGCTCAGCAGGGAGCCCGATGTGGGACTCGATCCCGGGACTCCAGGATCATGACCTGAGCCGAAGGCAGTCGATTAACCAACTGAGCCACCCAGGCGCCCCCATATTGTTTTTTTTTTTTTAAAATAAGTTGCTGAGCTATACGTACAGATCCTATTTTTGTGAAGGAAAGGAAGCAGCAGGGAGTCGCGGGTGGAGGGATGGCCACACCCGTGTGCTCGTGCGCGGGGGGGGGGGGGGGGGGGGGGGGGCGGGGGGGGGGGGGGGGCGGAGGCTGCGGGGTCTGACCTGCTGTGGCCAGCACACGTGGCTTCTGTGGTTTGAAAAGTCAGTTAAGTGGAGTGTTTTAAAGACTTATCAGTAGCATATGCATTTGATCAGAATTCCTCTGAACTCCATTGACAGAGGGGTCCTGATTAAAAGCAGCATTGTGGAAGTGATGCCCGCCTGCTTTTACTACCTGCTCTTACCGTATCCTAAGACTCAAAGAGAGCCTTGATTTAATTACCAGCCTTTTTCTGAGGTAATGAAATCCAGCTCAGGATGACGGTGGAGAGAAAGCAAGGCTCCCAGGGAAAAGACGGGCATGTTCTTTGAGCACATTTTACCGGGTGAGACACCTTTCCTCGACAGGGGTGTTTCTCCCCAGCGGGTCATGAGATTCGGGGGTCCCCACCAGCCCTCAGAATCGTCAGAGTGCGCGGACTGCATGGGGCAAGGGTAAAACAGTGTCTCGTGAAACACCGCGCACATGGCTGTGTGTGTCTTGTGTCTGTGATCCTGTGAACCCAAGTGGACGGACCCTGGACGGGAGGTCGGCAACACAATAGCCCGTAGTGCTTGTGCTCCAAGTGCCCTTCGCGGGGAATGGTGTCCATGCCACTGGCCAGGGTGGCCCGTGGGGTTCCTGGGGGGCCCACCCCCAGCAAGGCCAAGCCCCCCAGAGCCCCCACCCACCTTCATCCTGTGGATCTCTGCCTTCATGGCTCGGATCTCCGTCTGGCCGGTCTCGGAATCCACCGATGCACGCATCTCTTTTGCCAGCTGGATTTTTTTCTCCCAAAGCATGATCTGGTGTCTTTAAAGGTGGGAGAGGCAGTGTGAGAGCTGGAGAAATTAAGGAGATTTCCTTCTGATGCTTCTGCGAGCTCATGCTGTAAGGACTCGCTCCAAATCGAGACCCACAGTGGACAGCTGGAAGGCAGGTGTGAGCAGAGGCTGAGCGCAGTGAGCTCAGGGCGGCTCAGAGCAGGGGGCCGGGACCTGGGACCCTCTCTCTCTCTCACTTGGCGTGTTTAAATACCCAGGCACTGAGTGAAAGGCTTGACTGTCAGACACAAATTTTCCCGTTCTGTGACCTGCAGGTCAACATAAACCCCTGGGCCGAGGTGCTCTCTCAAGTTCCTGCCAGCCCAGCCAACCCAGGGCGAAGGGGGCTGTCCCACCCCAGTCAGTGTTGCCGTCATGGTGTCTCGTGGTGACATCGCGGGCGACAGTTATACTGCGGTGCACACAGCGCCTACACCTGAAACCACCAGAACTCTGCGCGTCAATGATACTTCAACTAAAAGGAGAAGTTCCCGTAGCAGCAAAGATGGATGCCAGCGCCCTGGTCTCAGTGTTTGTATCCCGCCCCATGATGCCCAGCGTGATGGTGTTGGGAGGTGCCACCTCTGGGAGGTGCCTAGGTCACGAGCTGCAGACTCATGAATGGGATCTGCGCCCTTAGAGAAGAGACCCCACAGAGCACCCGTGGGGACACAGTGGGAAGCCCGCGACCAGGAAGAGGCCCTCACCCATGCAAGCTGACACCTTGACCTTGACCAGCCTCCACAGCCGTGAGCAATTATAAGCCCCGGCCCCTTCTCTTACAGCCGCCTGGACAGGCGGTGGGCTCAGCGGAGCTGGAAGGTGCCTTGCGGGCTCTGACACGGCCTTGCGGGGCTGGCTGAGCAGCCACTCCCATTGGAAATGTCGGTCCACAGGAACTATATAAAACTGCTTCAGAGGGCAGCATAGAGAACAACCCCATTTTTGATTAAAAAGCAGGCAGACAAGAAAGATACATGCATCGTGGTTTCCCGGTGAAGGGAGGGAGTTGGAATTATGTGTGATTTTTCTCATCTACTTTGCACACATTGTTACAGTTTAGAATGCTACAGTTGGGGGTGGTTACTCTTACAGCCAGGCATCATAAAAATAAAATAATTTTTAAAAACTTTATCCTGAAGAAAGCCACTCAAGGGGATGCCTGGGTGGCTCAGTCGGTTGGGCATCTGCCTTTGGCTCAGGTCATGATCTCAGGGTCCTAAGATGGAGCCCCACATCGGGCTCCCGGCTTAGCAGAGAGTCTGAGTCTCCCTCCCCCTCTGCCTGCCGCTCCCCCTGCTCCTCCGCTCGCTCGCTCTGAAATAAACAAACAATATTAAAAAAAAAAAAAAGCTACTCAATTTCCCCCGAAGACTGGGCAGGCGAGGGCAGGTGGCCGGAACCGTGCGGTGACACCTGTTCTTCCCTGGGACCCGCCCCCAGTGCGGGCTCCAGAACTGCTCCCAGGCAGCTGTGGATAGGCGGTGGGTGCCTGTGGGCTGCGCAGGCGCGGTGACAGTGGAGCGGGGGGGCGGGGCACTCACTCCGCCTCCACCAGGTTGTTCAGAGTGGCCGTCTTCTCCTCCTGCAGCTGGTTCAGCTTCTCCTGCATCTCGATGGTCTCCCTCTCCGAGGCCTGCACGGGACGGGGTGCCACCGACTGTGGGGGGACGCCAGGGGACGCGAGGACCCTCACGCACGCCCTCCCACCATGTGCTCTCCCTCCCGAGCCCGCGCGTGCCCGAGTCCTGCGGAGCGCCCGACCTTCAGCGCGCGCACGAACTCCTTCTCCATCACCAGGTTGTCCTGCTGCAGCCCCTCGGAGCTGCTCCGGTTCTTGCTTATCAGCACGTTGAGCTTCTTCAGGTCGTTGTCCAGGCCCTTCATGTGGCGCTCGATCTGCTTTTGCTCCTTCTTCTCCTGAGCGATCTTGTCTGCAGCAGAGGGGATGCGGGGGTAGCCACGTTCCCAGAGTAGCCCCCACCCCAGTCAGGGCCCTGCTGGGCTAGAGGGAAGGGGCCTCTTCCTGGCCGCTCGGTTCCCAAAGCCTGGCTCTTTGAGGCAACAGAAAGGACCCCTATGTGGACAGCCAGCAGGTGGGGGGAGGCGGGGTGGTGGGGGGCAACCCCCTGCCCTGAGAACAACCTGTGGTGAAGTGGCTGGTGCTCAGACACTGGGTCTCCAGGAAAGGCGGGCCCTGCCCCCTACACCACCCCACCCAGCTCAGGGGCAGGGGGGCAGAAAACAACCACCCTAATTTCCAATAGAGGAGTTTGGGCGCCCCCGAGGGCAGGCCAGAAAGGCAGCAGGGCCTCTGGGCCTGAGGTGTCCAGGAGGAGTGGGCCCCGGACCACCAGGCAGCATTTCCCATATGGCCTCATGGCCGGGCTGACCTGCATGGATCTCTGGTCAGAGACCCAGGTGGGACCAGGATGCCTCAGTGGGGGGCCGTGGGGGTAGACGGTAGCCAGGAAAGGTGCCCATCTCCCTCCTCCGGGTACCCTGGCACATTAGAGACCCCTGGTTTTTACACCACCTGGGGCAAGACGGGGGCTGGGGAGCCTCTTTGGGGACGGTTTTCTAAGTTCAGCTGGAGAGGAAGAAAGCTTCTCTTCCCAAGGCCCTGAGTTTGAGGCATGAGGTGTCTCCTGTATCCCTGGGAAGAAAGCTTCTCTTCCCACAGCCCTGAGTTCGGGGCGAGAGGTGTCCCCTACTCCCTGAGCAGGGGAGTGAGCCCCCAGGAGCTGTGCCTTGCTGCGTGTCTGCATTTCCAGCCCAGCTGCCCTGTCCTCGGCAGGACGATAAACCTTCCGTGCCCCTCTCTCTGGGAGCACCCTTCAGTCTGGGAACTTAACAAATCCGGTACGTTTTCTCGATACTTCCACCACGCCGGCGATGGGGCTGGTGGTCAGGGCAGCGGCTCATGTTTACACAAGGCGCTGTGAGCCTGTGGTTTGCTCTCACGGCCTCGTGCAGGGTAAGCGTGGAGCCCCCTCCCTGGGAACTGGGCCACAGGAGTCCCTGCAGACGCTGGACGCTTACTTTCTATCCGCAGCTTCTTCTGCTCCAGGATGTGCATCTCCTTCTTGAACATGTCCAGAGACACCAGCTGTTCCTCCTGCTCCTGAGTGACCTTCACCATCTCTTGCTGCAGGTGGAGCCAGGTCACCTGGGCCTGCGTCACGCTGGTGTTGTGCTCTTCCATCAGCTTGGTCAGCCTTTTGATTTCAAGCTCCAGAGGCCCTACTTCTTCCCCCTAAAAGTGATATTCACCAAAAAGCAAAGCGAGCTTCCTTGTTTTCAAAGGTCTGCTTCCCGGGGGTGCTGAGGAGGGCCGGGACCCCACCTGAGATCATGCATCTGTGCGAGGACTGGGGGGCATTTCCTCGGGGGCACTAAGGGTCCCACCGTATGCCCCCGACCCGCTGTGGGAGATGCAGGTCTCAGGAGGCCGGTGGCCCCCTCCCCACCATGCCACAGCCTTGTGGGGCCAAGGGCAGGGTTGGCGGGCCTCCGTCCCTCAAAGGGGCTTTGCAAGTTTTCTTTTAGGAGCAGACCGTCACGGGCCAGGGTCTTGACCATTTGGGCTGCAGCTTTGAGAGGGCTCTGTGGTGCTCAGGGTCTACCTAAAAGCGTGCCCCAGCTGACCATCTTACTCCTGGACTTGAAGCCCATGGTGGTGCCCCCACGTTAGGGATACCTGGGTAACCTATAGGACTTCAAGCCTCAAACTCATCAGATCACTCAGAGCAGCAGTCAAATCCCACCTGCTGCCTTTGCTTGGCAAGAAAGAACATTTGATGCCAGGTGAAAGTTATATGGTCAGATTCCAGGGGCCACCAATAAGGCTTTATTGCAAACACCCATTTACTTATCACCTGCCTTTCTGGCCGTGACAGCAGGGGTGAGTAGCTTCGGCAGAGACCGACTGGCCTGAAATATTTACTATCTGGACCTTGACAGGAGAAGGTTTGCAGGCAGCCCCTGACTTGGGGCATTCCGCGCTCTCGCCATGTCACCCATAAAAGGGGCGGGGAAAGGAGTGGCTCTATTCCATGTGAGTTCATTCTGGAGCATCGCTGAGATGGCCAGGCACAAATACCAACCAGGGGCAACCTCTCCTGGCCCGGAGGTCTTACCCCCAGTTCAGAAACCATCTGCTCCAGCTGCTTATTGAAGAAGTTGATGAGGCCTTGCTTTCTCTCGATCAGGATTGTGCGCCTAGAGATCTCGTTCTCGCTGTTGGTGATGAGGTCATTGACCTTTTTCACTTCCTTGTCGAGCTCGACCAGCGTCTTCTGGTGCATGTCCAGCCTGCAGTTGGTGTTTGTGATGTCCAGGGTGGTCTGAGCAATGTCACCGTCAATTTTGGAAAGATGTGTCACCTGCATTAGTAAAAGGAAACATGTCTGAACATTCTTTTTCCCTGGGGGGCTCTAAATGAGCTGGCTGGCCTATCATTTCCTTGAGCATCTGCCACAAGGTCCACCTCTCCTTCCTTCTAGTCTTTATATATATAACGCCCCTCCCACTGCCTTCTGCCCCAAACCAAAGACAGGATCACACTCTACACATATGTTTGTAAGCCACTTTTTAATGAGCTCAATCTTGTATGCTCATGTCATTTTTAGTGGCCGTGTAATAGTCCCTTATACATACAACCTAGGAAGCAAGTTGTGGTTGTTGTCAGCATTCCTGCTTCCGTCCTGTCCCACAGTTCTGAATTCAGTGCCCGGGGGCTGGTCTAGACAGCTGGTATGTTTTGGTGAGGGAAACGGATTCCTTCCTCTCGGGGCTTGCAGTCTATCACCGGTGTTCCTGTTCTAAGTAATGCTGTGGCAAGTTCAACCTCTCTCTTTGCCAGGACCATCTGGGATAGACGGGTCTTCACAGGGGCTCCCACCTTCCTCCTTGCCCCCTGTGCTTGCCACCTTACGGGGGCTCCTGTTCCTAAGTCTCTTTTTGGCCACCGGATGGACAAGCCAGCCTCCTTGGACTCCCTCAGCTCTGCTCCTCGACTGTTCACTCAATAATTATTGAGATACCCTGGCCTCTCCTGGGACGTCAGTTCTGCTCCAGCACTAACTTGTAGACCCATGGTTGACCCTTGCCTGCCCTCCCTCTGGACCCCAGCTCCAGATCCCAGGGGGTTTCTTGAATAGTTTGGAAAAAGTGCCCCCTTTAAAGAGCTAGACTTGCATCTCTGGGGCAATCATAATGGACACATTTGTGGGACGAAGATTCTTTACTGCCCTCCACTAGCCATCAGTGGTAGTGTGTGTGCCACTTGGCAGGGGTGGCTGGGGGCCTGGGGGTCTGGGGGCCCACGAGTGCAGCCTGGCAGAAGGACTGGCAGGTGACTTCACACACACCATGCTCCTTATCTTCTCTGGTACAGTGCGGGCCTCTAGTTTTGCTCCCAGCAGGTAGTCTTGCCCCCACTTCCCAGGGAAAGGATGAGCAGGACGCCCCCAGCATCAGACAGGACCTCCCAAGGAGACCTGGCGAGTACAGTCTTGGTTCCAGCCCTGTCTCCCCACTTCCTTGCTCTAACCAGGCCAGGAGCAAGGGGCCCTCCTCCCAGGTGTCTGGGAGGGATGGGGCGCCTCAGGCTGCCGGCCAGGTAGACAGCAGCCCCGCCCTCCCGGGAAGACAGGTGAGCCCTCCCAGCTGTGTCAGCTGCGCCTCCTCCTGGCCCGTATCCACCTGCCAACAACGGCCATCAGTCGCTGACATGCAGGGGCACGGCCTCTGGCTCCCCAGCCCCTTTGCTGTCATTGTAACGAACGGTTGGATCTAATCCTCCAACACCTGCCAGGTGCCTCGTGCAGGCAGAGAGTAAAGGCAGAGCCAGGATGACGCAGGAGCAGGACTCATGCTCTTGACCGCAGGCTGGGAGGGCCCACGTCCCTTCACCTCCCGCCCGTCGGATGGAAGCTTCCGGTGAGCTGGAGAGCAAGGAAACGTCCATGTGGTTGCTGCTGTGTGCAGGCAGGCCGAGTGGGCCCCTCTCCTCCTGAGCCTTGAGGGGCGCCCTGGGGCAGGCCGTCTGCTGGGAGGTGCCCTAGGCCTGGTGCAGGCCACGGCGGCCTCCGTGGGGTCCGCACGCGGGCCCACCGAGCCCGGGGACACCCGAGGGGCGGTCACACCACAGGACGAGGCAAAGAAGAAAGGACTTAAGGAAGGACACAGGACCCGTGACCACAGCTCGGAGCAAAGTGAGAGCCCCGGGAGAGCAAGAGAGAGCTCTTGTTGGAGGAGGCCCCCGGGCTGGGGACTTCTGACCCTGGGTTTCTGGCCTAGCAGCTTCTCCTCAGAAGTGCGGACACAGATGTATGGCAAGCATGTCCAGAGTGGAGTCGTTGATAATGTTTAAAACCTATAAACACCTTCAAGGGTCTAACCAGAGAATTTTCAAGGACAATACATACATTTGTATGATGGTGTCATGCAGAAAGGAAAGTGTAGGTTTTTGAGGAATATTTCACAGAAAATGTTATGTTGAATGTGCCCAAAAAGTAAAATAAAACAGTAGTATCTGCTCAGAAAATCCGTGGGGTCCCAAACTTACTCTGTGTCATATTTCAGTAAAGTGAATGAAAATGGATTAGAATAGACCTGAAAACTGATACATAATAAGAGTCCTATGTTGTTTAAGGTGTGTGCACGTGTGTGTGTTCGCGTGTGTGCTTGCACGAGTGGGTGAGTACATTTGTATGGGTCTGCACGTGTATGCACATGAGTGTGTGTGCATGTGTGTGTCGGCTCGTGTGTGCATCGGGATGTTTATATGCGTGTGCGGTTGCCTGTGTCTCTGTGTGTGCACCTGTTTGGTTGCTTGTGTGAGTGAGTATGAGCGTGTGTGTTTAGAAAAAGTTCCAGAAGGAAATATACCAAAATGTTGGAAGAGGTTATCTCTGGACGGTGGGATTATAGATGTCTCATTTTCCTCTTTATGCCTCTGTATTTCCAGGTTTTCTACAATTAAAAGGCTCGCTTCTACAGCAAGAACCAAGTGGGAAGTGAATAGACTGGCTGAGCGCCCCTGGCTCACCCCATTGGCTCTGAGCGCTGCCGCTGCCACGCCCACCAGCCCAGGCGCCCAGCCCTCGTGGCCGCAGCGGGAGGGTGGCGTACCAGGTTGGTCTTTTCCTTCCGGAGCTTCAGGATGATCTGATGGAAGTACTTGGTCATCTTGTTGGAGGTCATGTGCTCCTGCAGCTTTTCCAAGATTGAAGCATCCATCCTCCGCCTCAGCTCTAGCTCGTGCTGGATGGTCTGGTGGACGGACTGCAGGTCGCCCATGGTGGTCGCGTACTCCTGGAAAGGAAGGGGCAGGGAGGCACTGTGCGGGGGAGGAGGGAGGCCGTGGGGACGTGCCCTGGATGGGCTGGGGGACACGGTCGTACCACTTGGGCCTTGCCCAGCGTGTCCTCCGTGTCCTGCAGCACCAGCCGGTAGGTGTTGAACTCGCTCTGCAGAGCCTCCTGCTTGGTGAGGCACTGCGTGGTTAGTTTCTGCATCAGGTTGGCTTCTGTCTCCTCGCGGTTCAGGACGCCCGCCAACTTCTCATTCTTCTCTTCCTCCTTCATGATGGATTTCTTGTAGGCCTCGATCTCCCTGTCGATGGACGTGATCTGGTGCTGGCACTCGCTGTCGGGATCGAAACAGCAAAGCTGGGGCGGCAGAGCGCCCATGCATGTGGCTGTGCCCGCTCGCGGGGAGCTCACCCAGTAGAGAGGGACGAATGGGAGCCCAACTCTTACCAGCAGCCAATCTCAACGACTGCTTCCTGACACAGTCACAGAACCACTGCCCACTTTGAGTCCAAGCCTAAGACTCTTCTAAGACAGAGAGTAAGGGAGAAGGGCCAGATGGGCCAGGCATTGTCCCGGGGACGGATCCACCCACCCTTGCTGGACAGGGGAGCAATCCCGGAAAGGGAGTGTGCTATTCCAGTTTCATACGCGTGAGCACGGGAGCTCAGGGCCCTTGAGCGGTATGCCCCGTGGCCATAGGGTGTGGCGTGGCTGGGAGAAGCACCTGTGGGCATCACTCCAAACTGTCCTTTCCCCTGTGCACACTGGCTGTGCGAATACCTGTAATTAACATCAAATCAAACAGACAGGTGCTGGATAGTAGAGTTTTCCTTTGTGTGCGAGACATTGTTTCCCCCGCATTTTGAGACGTCCTACTGCTCTGCCATAAAAAAGCCTTTCTCCACCTCCAGGATCTTACCTTTGAATAAGTTCTTATTCAAATAATCAGAAAGTACTTTCTCCTTGAACCGAAATAACACCTTCCATATTTTTCTCATGTGTATCCCCAGGCCTTCAATTCTCTTCCCCAAGCAACCAGTTATTTCTTAAATGTCTTTCCAGATCTATTTCATGCTTTTATAAGTATTATGTTTGTCTGTGTCTATGAAACAGTTACAAAAAGCAGCTTAGTAGATCACGTTCTGCACCTTACTATTTCTTGTGCTATCTTAAAGATATTCAATAGCAGTGCACATAAAAATCTCCTCGGTTCTTCTCAATGACCAGATGGTATTCCAAATGATGACCATGCCATAATTTAAGCCTCCTCACTGATACACAGTTAGGCTCTTTCCAGGTTTCTGGCCTTTTTTCTCCCTCATTTCAACAGTGTAGCAAAAAACATCTGTACAGTTTTTAAAAGATAGCGGGGAGATACGCCATGTTTATTCAGCAGAAGACTCAATATTGTTAAGGCATTAGTCTCCCCAAAAAGATCTCTAGACTCAACACAATTCTAATTAAAATCTCAGTAAGTATATTTTTTTTCCAGAAATTGACAAACTGATTCTAAAATTTATATATGGAAACCTACAGGATCTCAAATAGCCCAGATAATTTCACAAAAGAAGAACAAGGTCTCCCACGATCTGATTTTAAGACTTCCTAGGAAGCTGTCATTATCAGGACAACGTGGCATTATTGGTGAAAGAGTAGCTGGATGGAATGAACAGAATCAGGAGTCCACAAACAGACACCCCACGCGCAGACACACACGGCCAATTGACATTTGACAAAGGTGACACGGTACTTCAACGGAGAGAGGACAGTCTTTTCAGCAGAGGTGCTGGGATTGTTGCACGCAGCTGTGCAAACAGACCGAACCTGGGTCTCATGCTGTGACGGGCATTAACTTGGAATGGGCCATGTACCTACATGGAAGAACTCAGCAGGAGACACAGGAGAGATCTTCATGACCCTGAGCCAAGCAAAGATTTCTTCAAGAGGACATAAAAAGCATGAGCTATGAAAAAAAATTAATTAATTGGGCTTCATCAACATGTAAACCTCTGCTCTTCCAAAGCCACTGTCGTGAGAATGGGAAGACGAAGCCACAGACCGGGAGAAAATATTTTCAAAGCACACACTGAGAGAGGACTTGTATCTAGAATATATGAAGAACTCTTGTAACTCAATAATGAGATGAACCACTCAATTTAAAAATGAGCAAAAGACACTTCACCAAAGAAGGTATACGGGTGGCAAATAAGCACATGAGAAGATGCTCAACATCATTAGTCATCAGGGAAATGCAAATTTAAACCTCCATGTGATACCACAACTCATCGACTAATGGCTGAATTGAATGGCTAAAATTAAAATGATTGACAATACCAAGTGTTGGTGAGGACGGGGGAGTAACTGGGAATCTTGCCCACTGTGGGAGGGAATGCAAAATGGAACAAACCAAATTGGAAAACACATTGGCAGTTTGTTATAAAGTAAAATATGCACTAACCAGCAATCCGGTGCCTGGGCACTCACCCAGGAGAAAGGGAAACACACGTCTACACCAAGACCTGTAGAGACTGTCATGGTAGCTCTACCCATGACACCCCCAAACCCAGGGAAATCCATCAACTGGTGACCCGATGAACACAGTGGCGCACTCTTCAGCAATAACAAGAAACAAACCACTGATCTCGCACCATCCCACGTGGGGATGAAACTCGGAAGCAGTGTGCCGAGTGGGAGAAGCCAGCCGAGGAAAAGCTGCACGCTGTGACTCCATTTACCGGACATCCTGGGAATGACAGGGCTGGCAGGACAGAAAGCAGATCAGCGTTCGCCGTGGGCTGGAGGTGGGGAGAGGATGCTGACTTGGGGACAAAGGAAACGGCCTGTCATCTTGAGGGCACCAGGGTACTTGCCTCTGTCCATCTGCCAAACTCCAGAGCTGTGCACCGAAGAAGGAGAACTTTTGTACATAAGAAATCTGTACATAAATTAGCCTCAATAAACCCAGCTTAAAATGAAAAAACTACTCATTTTCTTTTTTAGGAAGTAACAGCTAAAATTTGTCTAAAATTTGACAATAAAAATAAGAAGTCCAATTTAAAAAGACACAGTCACAAATTGCATGACAGAAGTCTGAACACGCGGTAAGACATACGCGCGGGAGAAGAGATGCCTGTGAGTGCCCAAAATGCTAATAAATTGTCATTGTCACCAAAGGAAAAAGACAGTGGTATTGTAAACCTTTTTCTGTTTTTCAAATTTCCTAGAATGTGATCACTTATCCTCGATAAAGATTATTTTTAAAAAACACACTTTAGGGGCGCCTGGGTGGCTCAGTCGTTAGGTGTCTGCCTTCTGCTTGGGTCATGATCTCGGGGTCCTGGGATCGAACCCCACATCGGGCTCCCTGCTCAGCGGGAAGCCTGCTTCTCCCTCTCCCACTCCCCTTGCTTGTGTTCCCTCTCTCGCTGTCTCTCTCTCTGTCAAATAAATAAATAAAATCTTTAAAAAATTAAAAAAAAAATAAAAAACACTTTAGTGGGGCACCTGGGTGGCTCAGTCAGTTAAGCACCCGACTCTCGATCTCAGCTCGGGTCTTGATCTCAGGGTCGTCAGTTCAAGCCCCGAGTTGGGCTCCACTTTGAGTGAGTGTGGAGCCTACTTAAAAAAGAAAAAAAAAAAAAAGAGTTTCATGGAAGGGAAAAGATCAAATGCTGATAGGTCAAGTAACATGAAGACTGAGAATTGATCACTCAATTTAGTCAATGTACATGATTTAACATGGTTCCTGTGGAGTGGTAGGGACAAAACTTGATGGGATTAAGCTCAAGAGAGATTAGAAAGAGTTTCTGGGAAAGGTCTTCTTTCTCCCTAGACATGGAAGACAACCCATGGAGACCTTGGATATTCTGGCTGCCATCTTGAAAAACAAGCCCTACTCTGGGCTCTATGCTGGGCGTGGAGCCTACTAAAAAAATAATAATAATTACAAAAATAAATGAAATAAAAATAAAAAACACACTTTAAAAACTTCCTTGAGCGACAGATACTAATAGAAAATAAATGGGACAGACACAGGTGGACTCTAGGACAAGGCCCACATGTTGGGCCTGATCCATTCAAGGGTTGAGAGGGAATCTGCTTGGGGGTCTGGAGACCCTTCGGCTACAGCTCAACATCCCGGGGCAGTTACTGGCTCTGGACCCAGTAACTGAAGCTGAACCACACACACGGGTCCATTCTCCCCCGATCGGTCATGACAGTGCACCATGCCCCCGCAGCATAGGGAAACCAGCAAGAAAGCGCAGACCAGAAACGTTGGGGCTTTCGGCCCAACATGCAGCTCACGGACGAGACCCATGGGGGCAATGTTATGACGCCCCCCACCCCAAGCACTGGGAGATCAGATTGTCTCCTAAGAGTTAAATTGTAGATTCGGCATCGATGCAGAGATGCCATCGTCCTGAAAAGAGACAGTGCAGAATTTGGCTGGAACCTGATTGAGGGCATCATGTTATTGGGAAAAATCACACAGGTGTCAGAAGGGAAGAAGGGGTGGGCGGGTGACAGCAAAGGGCCATCAAGGCAGAGGCAAGCGTGTGGGCAGACTGCCCGATGCTCTGGGAAGAAGCAGGAGGCCGGCAGGGCCCAGGGCCTCAACACTCCCTGAACAGCAACCCGGTTATCGCCGGCCCCATGTTCTTTCCCACGGAGGAGACCCTGCTGGGCCAAGGGTCAAGCATTAGCCTCTCTGGTGCTCACATTTCCTAGCAGACACATATAACTTGGCAGCCTCTGGTGGACCCAAACCCTGCGAGCCGACTCCGAGGATGCAGACGCACTCGTGACATGATAGCAAAACCCGGCTTCTGGGCCAGGGGCCTCCCCTGGGTACAGGGTCCCGCCATGCCCAGACGGCGACCGGGGTGCTGGCCTCGTGCCCCGTTGTCCCAATCATCAGCCAGGACGCCGCGAGCTTCCTGCATCTTCTAAACCGGTCTACACGCTACCAGCTGGTGTTTGGCATTTAGTTCAGTCGCTGAACTGGCCTGCAAGGCGTAAGTGACGCGGTACATTATTTTTGCAATGTCCTGACCTTGCGTTAAACTGCCTCAGACTTCCTTCTTCATAACTGTATTGTAGCAGGTGGTGCGTCTCTGGTTACGCCCCTCACAGTAGCCCACGTGGGCAATGTGCTTTGAAGGCGGACCTCACTCCTCTGGGGCTACAGTGTAGTTTTAGGGGGGACACTGAACCAGACTTCCCATTTCTTGTCGTTAGGGGTGTCGTGCGTGTGTGTGCATGTGTGTGGGTGTGTGTGGGTGTGGGTGTGTGTGCACCTATTTTGCTAAAATATCCACCCAACCTTCCATGTGTGCATATTTTAGAAACATGATATTTTAGGGGGCTCCCTGACTGCTCAGTCGGTAGAGCACGTGACTCTTGACCTCGAGGTTGTGAGTTTGAGCCCCATGTTGGGTGCTGAGATTACTCAAAAATAAAATCTTAAAAAAATTAAAATTAAAAAAAGAGAGTTTAAAAAAAGGTGTTCAAAAACATGATTTTTTTTCCCCATTAGTCCGATGGGTGCCATCCAAATGGCCGAACTCTGGCCAGGCTCTGGAACCCCCGGTGGGGTGTGACTGTCCCGGCGTTTTGGGGAAATACCTGCCAGGTCTGTGCATGTCCGTCCCCCAGAACTCCAGGCTCACAGAGAAGGCAATGCTATAGCGTAATATAAACTATAATACTCCTGGGCGTGGGTGCAGCCCTGCAGCAAAGTCAGCCTGCAAGGAACCTCCCCACCCCGGTGGGAAGTCTCCCCCAGACGTGGCCCGGCGGCGCACTCCGCGGTGGGGAAGGACGGAATGACCAGTCGTCACACTGAGATTTGGAAAGATCTCTGGGGCCTGTCGGCGAATGAGAAAAGCAAGTGTGTATGCAGCATGCTACTACGGCGTGTGTGTGCCTCGTCTGCGGGGGCTTTGTTTTGTTCTTTTTTCTTCATCACAGGACCAAAAAGGACCAGTGCCTCCTAGCTGTCCGAGCACCGGAGACCACGCTGCAGGGCTGACGGGAGTGGTTCATTCACTTCTTCTGCCCTCTGCCAGGCTCGGTGCCGGGTGCGGGGCGCCATGAGCTGCCTCCGGAACCCAGCCACCGCATCTCAGTCCCCATCACCTAGGGCGGTTTGGGGAGTTGAGTCAGCACTGGGCCCGGAACCCCCTGCGCCCGACTCCCTGCCCAGCCCACACAGGAGGGAGGGAGGGGCCTGGAGGAGGGCCCTCTTCCTTCCCCTGGCGGGGAGATTAAGACACGATTGCGGTTGGAACGCGGCCCTCCCCAGAACAATGGCCCAGGGATGGTTTCCACACACAGGTGGTGAAAAGCAGAGCAGAGGGACACCCTTCTCTCCCGGAGATAAATACCCCTTTCTCCTTCTCTCACTGTTTGTCCTATCTTCCCAGGAAGCCTGAGCCCAAAATCTTTGCTGCTCCTGGTACCGGTACCACAGAAAGTTTGAAAAGACTTAAGAATTGTTGAATGTTGGTGAACAATAGGGAGCTTTCATGGCGGAAGCTGAGGCTGTGGGGCTGCAGGTGCACCTCCTTTGTCCCAGCAGATCCAGCAGGAAGGGTGCTGTGGGCACGCCTGGTAGGAGGTGGGGGTGCAGCGGTCTGTGCGCCCACCTGTCACCCTGAGCTCCCGGCCCCCACCTCCGCGGTGTACCTGCAGGGCAGCCGGAGGCCCTCCCGGCTGTGCCCATACCTGAGCGCCTCCTGGATGGTCCTGTGAGCCTCGTCGCGATGCTTCATGCCCACCAGGCAGGTGGCCCACTGCTGCAGGATGCGCCTTTTCTCCATGTTGATGGCGTCTATCTCCGTGCAGGCCTGCGGTGGAGAGTCAGGGTTACGTGGAAGTTGGTCTAACCTCATTACGCTCAAGGCCCCAAGAGAATGTCTGAAAGCCCCAAATGTCCTGAGTCATCTCCTTTCCCTATGTTACCCTTGCTTTTCTTACCACGCACCAGCAAAAGGATACATGTGAAAATAAATACAGCTCTAAAGACGCATCGAAACGCCCACCTGAGCCCTGACTCCGGGCCCCCAGGCGCTCAGTGCCACGGGGTCGAGGAGGAGGTGTCCAGCAGTGACAGACACCCGTCGTACCCAGACCCCAGACGCCGGGGGTGGGAGGGTGTCACTGATTCTCACAATGAGTCCTGTCCACAGACTGGAGTTTCGGTCACAAGACATGGGTACAGCCTCTGTGCCTGACACCCCTTCCCGTAAGAGACCGTGCTGTCGAGAATGACCTGGCAGCAACATGGGAGCATCCATCAGGCCCTGGGGTGTGTGTGTGTGTGTGTGTGTGTGTGTGTGTGTGCGCGCACGCATGCGCACGCCTGTGCATACACGTGCGTAATCATATTCTCTATGTTGTTTTATAAACTGGAATTAAAAATTAGCGTGTTGCGGGCGCCTGCGTGGTTCAGTCGTTAAGCGTCTGCCTTCGGCTCAGGTCATGATCCCAGGGTCCTGGGATCGAGCCCCGCATCGGGCTCCTAGCTCAGCGGGGAGCCTGCTTCTCCCTCTGACCCTCTCCCCTCTCATGCTGTTTCTCTCTTTCTCTCTCAAATAAATAAATAAAATCTTTAAAAAAAAAATTAGCGTGTTGTGCCCAGGTTTTTAATGTAAAATATTTTTATTTGCATGCCTCTTCAGTAGTTTCCTTGGCATGAAGCCCAGGTGATATTTTGGGAGGGGGCAGGGGAGTTTTGGGAGGTGGGGGGGTGTAGGGGAGCACATGTGTTTTCGCTACCAGCCTGGGAATGCCACTCCCCTCTGCGCTGGTTCCGGGCTATCAAGGGTTCCTCATCCGTTCATTCAGTGTCTCTGGTGCACCTGCTGTGCGCTGCTCCAGGTGCAGGAAGGAAAAACGAACAGGGCGTGGGGCGGCCCTGCCTGGCGGGGACACACCCAGCAGGGAGGGGCAGAAGGCACCGAGACACATAAGCTCGTGTGTGTGTCCACGACCATCCCGTGGTAGAACCGGACACGGGGTATTTCTTACTGATTTGCACAATCTCTTCCCACCACCAAACTCCCTGGTGGGTCTCCTGTCTTTTCGTTTTGTTGGCAGCACCCTCAATCTCCAGGTGCCGTGGTTGGTGTGCACCACCCCCCAATCAGCTCTGTTGGAGTGTCTGCTCTCCGTGCTAGGTTTAGAAAGGCCTCTGCAACTCTGGATTTAAAAAATATTTTTCTTGGGGTGTCTGGGTGGCTCAGTTGTTAGGCGTTTGCCTTCGGCTCAGGTCATGATCCCAGGGTCCTGGGATCGAGCCCCGCATCGGGCTCCCCGCTCCGCGGGAAGCCTGCTTTTCCCTCTCCCACTCCCCCTGCTTGTGTTCCTGCTCTCGCCGTGTCTCTCTCTGTCAAACAACTAAATAAAATCTTTTTTAAAAAAATACTTTTCTTGTATTTTCTTCCAGTACATTTTCCCCATTTATGTTCTTGATCCCATCTGGAATTCATTTTCGTGTCTGGTATGAGGAAAAGATTTAATTTTTCCCCAAATGATTAACCAAATGTCCCTACTCCGTTGTGCATGATTCATGTGTTCTCCATTAATTTATAATCCACTCAAGTTTTATGTAAACGTTTGCTTCTTTTGGGGGTCTACTCGTAGGCTACCATGGCCCACCTGTCTATCCCAGACTCCAGGGACACATCATTTCACATTCCAGGCTTTAGAGTGGGCAATATTTGGTAGGGCAACGCCAAGATGACCTGCCAGCCTGGTGTGTCTGGGACTCTCCTGCTTTAGCACAGCAAGTCCCACATCTCAGGAGACCCCTCCGTTCTGGGCAAAACCCGTTCTGAATTTCCCTTTCCCAAACGATTCCTGGCCAGTCCTCCAAATGTATGCTTCGGATAAACCTCAGAATCTCTTTGCTAACTAAAAACTGCCTTTTTCCCCCCTGAGATTCTAATCAGAACACATTCTAGACCCACAGGCTGCAGAGCCTGGGCCGCTTTCCCACACGGACCCGGGCGTGCCTGTCCGTTTGTGCAAGCGTTTTCTTTTCCCCAGTAACAGGGTCTTATTTCCTTCGTGGCGTTCCTGCACACACGAGTGCCGATGGTGATTCACAGATTAAAAAAAATAAAAGAAGACGTGGCAGTGCTGGTTCCTAGAGTTGACCTCGGAACGTGGTGCTGCACTGAGTCCTTCCCGCCGGGGCTCAGCCTCGTGAGGGAGACAAGAGGCCTCACTCCCGCGAGGACCGGGCCGACCAGCAGACTCAGATGTCAGGCTTCGCGGAGGCCTTTAAGGCTACCACTGGCTGTGGGCCGAATAGAAACGGCCCTGTTCCCACCGTCCCCACCACCCCAACCACGGGTCAGCCCGCTGCTGAGCTGCTTCAGGAGGCACACCGCGGCGGCGGGAGCCGCATTCACCTGGCCCTCGGCAGTGAGCCGGCGCCCTGCGGTGGCCACTGAGTGGGTGTCCCGAAGCCGAGTGCGGCGGTGATGCTCCTACCTCGCTCACGGCTTTCCTGAGAGCCCGCGTGTCCTCGGCCTGGGCACAGCTCTGAGCCTCCAGCAGCGCGATTTGCTCTTCCAGCTGGTTGGCTTTGGTGGTGAGCTGGTCCACGTGAAGGTCCTGGGAAACGAGACCACGGGCCCCTCCAGCATATTCCTCCACCAACTCCCGACCCAAGCCGAGCGGAGGGACTTTTGGGAAATCGAAGGTTTGAGGGTGGTGGCAAATGCGTCGAAGTCGAGAGTACCTGCTGCTTCTTCTCCACCTCGGCCCGCATCCGCTCCACCTCGGACTTCTTCACCACTTGCCTCATCACACGGATGTCGTCGCGCACGTCGTGGTCTATGTTCTGCATGTAGAAGAGATGCAGAGCCAGGCTCTCCAGCTCAGCTTGCAGAGCCGCCACTGGGGGGGAGGACGAGGAAGGCCGCTCAGCATCCCACACGCGTTGTCTTGGAACCAGAAGCTCCGGAAGGCTCCCTGCTTGCCCTTGTGGACCCAGCCTGGGAACCTGCTGCTTCTAAACCACAAAGACTCAGACTTTGCCATCAAAGCCTTGCAGCCTAGTTGGAGAGACAAAGCTGTAGGTAATCCGTGTCCAGCGATCACCAGGAGCCACTCCGTTGCCTGCCGTGTCTTAGAGGCCCTCCCCATGTCTAAGGATCTGCTGAGACAGTGTCAGGCTATGAGGCCTCACGTTAGTCTTACAGATTTCTTACCGCTTAGACGTTGGCAATCTTAGGTAGAGTCCCACATCCTGGGAGGAAACCCGCCCAAAGGGGCACTGAGCTCTGCCAGAGCCCCCCCCCCCCGGACTGAAATGGCCATGTGGGGGCGCAGGCCAGGAGCACCGGAGCTGTCCTCACGGGCCAGGCTCGCCAGCGGAGCACCTTCCACTCCCCACTCAGAGCCAGCGCTCGGAGGATTTCCGTCCAGCGCTCGGAGGAGACCACACCCCAAGGAATGGACTCCTTTTAACAATACTCACAGGAGATTGATTTATGAAGCCAGATTACCAATTCGTTTAAGGAGCTAACCCTAAATCAAGACTCATTTGCTGTCTTGCATAGAGCGTTCCTTTATAGGTGGATAAATGCCCACAGAACACTGACTTATAGAATAGAAATATAAATTCACCCCGCTGAGTGGCAGGCATCCTTGAAGGGTGTAGCTTAACCCTGAAACATTACTTTGCGCCCAAGGTGACTGTAAAAATTCCAACGCTGGCGAATTCTTTGGCTCCTGCATGGGTAGGAACTATGGGGGGGTGGGGAGCAGAAGCAGGGACAGGGAGGTGTTGTGGTCAGAGCAGGCCGGGGCAGAGACTGCATTTGGAGAGAGGGTCTTCACAGAGTTAATTAATGTAAAATGAGGTCGTGTGAGTGGACCTAACCCCTCGTGGCTGGTATCCTTAGGAGTGGAAATCAGGACGCAGACACACAAGGGACCACCAGGTGAGGCCCCGGGGAGAAGGCCATGGGGAGAAGGCTGTGGCTACAAGCCCGGGACAGAGGCCTCGGGAGGAACCAGCGCTGCCCACGCCTGGCTCTTGGACCTCCAGCCCCCAGGACGCGAGAAAACAAGCCCCCACGGCCGCCGAGCTGACTAATTCACCCTCCCACCTAAAACGTGTAAGACTCACGTCGACCCTTCCTTAAGAGCGCTGAGTTCAACCCTGCTTTGTTTCACTGAGTAACAAAAAGTCAGTATTTCCAGTGCTTGTTTAAATCTGCATAAATATCAGTGGAGTTGAACCTAGTTTCACCATTTTAACGACCATGTTTGTCCCTCCTCCAAATCGCTTGCTCATGTCCTTGGCCACACAGCTACTGGGATGTTTGCCTCTCACTGGGCGGCTTCTAGGAACTCTTGATGCGGTCAAGGCAGGGTGGGCAGAACTTGAAGATGCCTCCCAGGGCCTCTGCCACCTGCTGTGACTGCTATGATGATGTTGCTTATCTGTCCCAAGGGAAATTACCGGGTGGGCCTGGACTAAGCAGGTGAATCCATCCAAAGCGGAGTGGTGTCCAGCTGGCGGCAAAAGAGGAAGTGAGAGAGATTCTCAGGGTGAACTGGATTCAATGAGAGGGAAATTCTCTGCAAAGCTGGCTCGAAGAGGGGAGGGGCCCCACAGCAAGGGACGTGGGCGGCCTCCAGGAGCTGAGAACCGCCCCTGCAGACAGCCCCGAGAAGAAGCAGCCCGTCAGTCCTACAGCCCTGAGGAGCTGAATTCTGCCAAAGACGTGAACAAGGCTGGAGTCGGATTTTCCTGGGTGCTCCCAAGAGACCCAGCCAACCAGCACTAGGGTTTGGCTTCAGGATGCCCCCGAGGGGGGCCCAGTCGGCCACGCCAGGCCTCTGACCTCAGGCTGTGTGGGCGTGCAGACACACGGGCTTGTGTTGAGCCCTGAAGTCTGTGGGAATTTGTTTCCTGGCAACGGAAAAGTAACACAGAACATATGGAGGTTGTCACAGATGTGCAAATGGGGTTTGCTCCCAACTTGTGTTTGTCTTTTAACTTCGTCATGCTTCTTGATAAGTTTTATGTTTTTGTATAAACAAAACTGTCAAACTCCTCCTCTGTGGCCTCGTACTTCACATCACGCTTCCGGAGACCCGCCTCAGACCAAGATGATTAACAACAACTACGGCAGCCTTACATATTCCTCTAATGATTCTGTGATTTTCTTAAATATTTACTGCAGACTTTATTTTTTGTATAGTGTGAAATAGCGGTCTAAGTATGCATTTTCAGATGGCCAAATGGTCAAGCAAATAGGTAGTGGCTTAAAGATGCAGTCTGTCCGTTTATTTAACCTGCAGAAAATGGCTGGATCCCCACGTGAGTTCCCCAGCATCCTCTGCTCTCCACCATCCATGTGCTTCTTCCCCTTTGGTGCCTTTCTGGTTTTACTGCTGTAGATTGATACCGTGTTTTGACACCTGATAAGACTATTTTCCTTCATAATCTTTCCTTTTCAAAATTTTCTTGGGTAGTCTTGTGCATTTAATCTCCCAAGTAAACTTTAAGATCAATTTGTGCAGGATAGGGAGCTTTTTACGTATTGATGCAGGTCGGGAAGCGGGGAAGCGTGGGTACGGCACAAAGCTACTTGTTTAAAAAAAACATACCCTGGTAACTTTGCTTTTATACGCAAAAACATCTTTAAAGAAACACATGAGAACCAATCCCCCGAGGGACACACACACACACACACACACACACACACACACACACACCCCTGCCCCCGGGCCTCTGTGGAGGGTCCTGGGGAAAGGGGAGGCAGGAGACTTCCCATCCCAGAGCTCTTGACTTTTGAGTGATTACTTCTTGAAAATGAATAAATAGGGGCGCCTGGGTGGCTCAGTCGTTAAGCATCTGCCTTTGACTCAGGTCATGGTCCCAGGGTCCTGGGATCGAGCCCTGCTTCGGGCTCCCTGCTCCACGGGAAGCCTGCTTCTCCCTCTGCCACTCCCCCTGCTTGTGTTCCCTCTCTCGCTGTGTCTTTGTCAAATAAATAAATAAATAAAAATAAATAAAATCTTTAAAAAGAAAATTAAAAAAAGAAAATTAATAAATAAACACCTATGTCAAATAAATTTAAGGTCACCCAAAATACCCCATCATGGACTTCAGCTGGAATGGCACTGAACGGCATGTTGACTGGGACAGAGGTGACACGTCCGCATCGTGCTGCTTTCCTCCCAGTAACAAGGCAGCTTTACTTATTGAAATCTCTTTTATGTCCCGTAGCGAGATTTTATTGTTTTTCTCCGGATAGGCTCACTCACTTCTTGTTAGGTTTATTCTAGGTATTTTATGGTTGTTATAATCATGATGGATGAGTTTTTTTTTTTTGAAACAATTTAGTTCTTAACTGGATATTACTGGGATAGGAGAAAATGCTAGCTCTGACATTCACCTACTTTACTTTCTTTACTGTTTCTAGTACTGGGTTTTTTTGTTTTTTTTTTATTTTATTTATTTATTTATTAAGATTTTATTTATTTGAGAGGGAGAGCATGAGAACAGGGTGAGGGGCAGAGGGAGAAACAGACTCCCCGCTGAGCAGGGAGCCCGATGCGGGACTCGATCCCAGGACCCCGGGACCGTGACCTGTGCCGAAGGCAGTCACTTAACCGACTGAGCCACCCAGGTGCCCTGGGTTTTTTTTTTTTAAATTATTATTGGTAATCTTGGATCTTCTAGGTAAACAATCATATGATTGGTAAAGCATGAGAATTTCACGTCCCAAATCCTCACCTCATTCATTTTGCCTATTGGAGCCTCCGGGGCTGTGCCTGTGGCCTGGTCTCCCTCCTGACCCTATCTGTACCTTCTCCAATGTTTCCCACTCAGGACAGTTTTCTGGTTCGTTTCCAAAAACATCATAAAGAACGTTCTTTCTACCTTAGTTTAGGATGGATGGTAAGTGTTTTCAAACACCTGTTTTGCATCTACCCAGAAAATCCTTTGTTTTTCCCTCTCCTTTAACTTACTAATAGCATGCATTAAATTAGCAGCTTTCTTAATTTCAAATGATTCCTGAATTCCACAGGAACTCCACCCTTCTCTGTTTGCTACTAATTTATTTAGGATTATCTTGCCTTGCTGGTGGGACGGCTGTGCAGTTTCTGCGTTGGAGGCTGTCCGTGTTTGCAGCCAGGGCTATCCTCCCCGTCGTAACACCAGCCTGGGAAGTTTCCCAGATTTCCCACCCTCTGGAGGGTTGGACAGTATCGGGGGAGGTGTCTGTTCCTTTCACAGTCTGGGGGGACTCGTCCATAACGAACAAACTGGTACTTTCAGGGGAAATCGATGTCCGACAACGTTTTCAGTTTCTTCAGTGATGAACCCAGTACAGAGCGTGGCCTTCTTGAAATGAAAACCAATAATGCCTCTGAATTGTCCTCATTCCCAGGGCTGCTACTTGCAGGACACCCTTTTTGTTGTTCCCCGGGCAGGCCAGAAGTTTACTCAGCATGTTGGTCATTTCAAAAATGGAGTATTTTTATCTGTCAGGCCAACTCGTTGTTGTTTTTTTTTTTTTTTTCTGTACCAGTTTCAGCTATTTTACTTTATTAACTCCCTCTTCCTACCTCTTTGTTTGTTTGTTTGTTTGTTTGCCCTTTTTCGGCCTCTGGAGTAGAATGTTTGATTTTCGGTCTTGTTAATGAAAACTATGCAAGGTCCTGGGTTTTATCGGTGCTTTCTGCGAAGCCAGAAGTCCTGATACATGGACTCCCTTTGCCACTAAATCCCTAACTAGTCGGTGATCTCTGTGTGGACGGGACCCTGTCCTTGTGCCTTACAACGTTCTGAGCATCACTACTCTGTCATTTATGTTTGAGACCTGTGATTCTCAGCCCCAACTGCACATTAGAATAACCTGGAAGCCTTCAAAAAACAAAACAAAACAAAACAAAACAAAAAACCAAGGCAAGAAACAGAAGATCAGGGGCCTTGGCAGAACAGCTGAACAGGGGGTGTGGGTCTGGCTGTATGCACCCCAGGGGCTCCTGCCAGGGAGAGCATGTTGCTCTCTGCCTGCTGCAGTCTGATTCTGTCTGGCCCGGAAGCCGGCAGCATTTTTTCCCTTAGCTTTGGAATTTAAAAATCTCACCAACTGTGCCTAGGCATGTTCATTCTGTTTTCCAGCTGTCGGGTCCTCCGAGCACCTTTATATTCGAAGACTCACCTTTCCTGAGCTCACGCAGATGTTCTCCTCTGGTGTCGCCCGTGAGCGCCCCTGATCTCCTGGGACTTCCGTCTGATGGGCGTCCATGGGCCCAGATCTCACACCCATGTCTTGTATCTCCTCAAAACATCCACCGCTTGGGGTTTTCCCTCTGAGTTCGGGGAAGAACTCCTCAAACTGGCCTTTCGATTTACAAGTTCAATTTTCGGCAGTATTGCTTTGTCTGTTTAGTGACTTTTGTTTTGTTCGTCTGGGAGGATGGTTATATATATATTTTTTAAAGACTTTATTTATTTGATAGAGAGAGACACAGCGAGAGAGGGAACACAAGCAGGGGGAGTGGGAGAGGGAGAAGCAGGCTTCCTGCGGAGCAGGGAGCCCGACGTGGGGCTCGATCCCAGGACCCCGGGATCACAACCTGAGCTGAAGGCAGACGCCTAACGACTGAGCCCCCCAGGCGCCCCAGGATGGTTATATTTTTTAATTCCAAGTACCCTTTTTCCTAACACTGTACTCTCGTTTTACTGATGTGACCTCCTCTACGATCTCACGCTCTCTTGTTTCAGGCCTGTTTGTGCCTGTGGCCGTGTCCGCTTTGTCCATGCAGCCCCATCCCCTGCAGTCTGGGGGCGCTGCCGAGCACTCGCGTTTTGATGGAAAGTTTCAGTGACTCCCTCCCAGGGGAGGCACGCACTCGTGGACATTCTCCAGTGGCAAACACCCACGTTTCAGGGCAGTGGCAGCACCGAATTCCCTAGTGCTCGGAAGGGAGAAAGGGTAGTATTTCTGGAATCCTTGTTTGGTTGAACAGCTTCTGTTCCTGTGTCTTGGTGACCTCCAGAAAGGACGCAAAGTCCAAGAAGATGTTTGCATCTCTCCAGAAGCCCGGCCACACTTTGAGCCTTCACTGAGTGGCGCTGGTGTGGAGCACGTGGGGGGCCTGGGTCCTCTTTCAGGTCAGTCTAAATTCTGTCCCACCCGGAGCATTTTTATTGTTTTTGCATGAATGTCACGTTCTTCTCTTCTTGGTATTTTCTGTTAATTTGGTGGAGATCAGGGAGGGTGCTTGATAAAGGAGCACTTAGTCTGACTCTGTCAATCCATAAAGTTCTGCATTTCTCGGGGTCTGAAATGTCTCTTTGCAGCCACAGTTAGAGTGTCCGTGTGCTTCTGTTTTCCGTGTACCTTGTTTTCCCCATTGTGGTAATCATACACAGCTGATAAACAAACTTGGGAACAAAAAACCCCCCAGACTGAAGTAATCACAGCAGAGTGCGCAAAGCGGGTATTCACGGGGCCCACAGCCTGGCCCTGTGCAGGGGGGCGTGTTACTGGGCAGAGCCCTATTGCCGCATCTGGTGCGAAGCCTCCCGGTTTCACCAGGATCTGCCGTACAGCCGGGGCTGCCGCCATCCCCTGGGCCGTTGTGCTTGGGACTGGCCGCATCCGGGGGTCCCCGCTTACTTAAACCCTGCCCACCTCCGGCAGCCGGCCAGCCTCTTCGATGTGGACTCTGCCTGCCTTCCTTGTTCGCTGCTTGACTCAGTCAGGTGCTTTTTAATGCACTGACGCCTTCTCTCCCTAAAAGGCTGCGAACTCCCCGAGGACACGACCACATCGCCCTTTTCTCGATGCCCTGTGATGGCACGCAGGGATGCCTTTCCGGGACGAGCTGGCCTGTGGGACCTCCCCGTGACAGCACGCGGGGACGCGCCACTGGGTCGCGAGGGCACTTGGGGATCGGGGCGCCATGGCAACGGGGACCCCCAGCCTTACGCTTTTTGCGCTCGTTGTTGGCGGTCTCGCAGGTCCTGGCGTAGCGGAGGCGCACGCTCTGAAGCTCCTCCTCCCTCTGCCGCCTGGCGCACGCTGCCACCGAGTGGAGGTCGTGGTTCTTCTCGAGCTGCATCTGCAGGCGGGCCAGGTGCTGCTGGACCCCGTAGAGATCCACGCCCAGCTCCTGGCGCTGCACGCGGCTTTGCTTGGTGGCCACACTCTGCGGGGGAGAGAGAAAAGTTGGTCACCGGCTGGAGGCACACGGCCGGGCGGGAGGCTGGACCGGCAGATACGCACCAGCTCTTGAAGTTCCAGTTTCAGCTTCTCTATCTGGCGGTTAAGATAGTTCTTCAGCGCAGCCTGGAACCTTACCATCAGGGGCTGAAACAACGGAGAAGCAAGCCTGGTTACCCTCCTGCCCAAGCAGGGCGCAGCCTAAGTCGCCAGAGCTCCCCCTGGGGGCACCAAAAGGACTTCCACGCTGGGTGCCCCTCACTTCGCCAGGGACTTGCGCCGGCAGCCATAGACTAAGGGCACTCAAGGTCCCGTCCCAGGCACTGAAGACCTGAGTACGCATTTTGGCAAAAAGACAGAGTGAGCTGGAGTGGTGGTCCTGGTTTCTCCCCAGGGATGCGGGGGTGATGCCAGCACCGAATGAGCCCTGAGCCTCTTTTCCCATAGCAACCGCCAATCTTTCCCTCAGGGAGCACCCCGGCTTTCCAAATGGGCTCATCCAATCAGGATTCGCCTTCCCCGCTTGCTGGAGGGTGGGGTGTGGGAACTCAGGTGGTGGGCTCCAAGCAGGGGCTCTGAACTGGGGTGACTGTGCTCCCACCCAGCACCCAGGATGTCTGGAGACATTCCTGGTTTCACGGCTAAGGGGCAGGGGTGCTGCTGGCATCTAGCAGGTGGGGCCAGGGGTGCTGCCCAGGACAGCCCCGCCCCAGAGACCGGGTGACCGGGTGACCGGGTCCCAATGTCGGCAGTGCCAAAGTGGAGGATTGCTGACTCTGGGCAAATGAAACAGAAAGAAGACACCTCACAGAGCAGTTTTGCCGAGTGGGCGAGGGGCGCGGGGGCAGAGGCGAGCTCAACAGCAGGTGAGGGGGCACCTCTGATCGCGCTCCGTGTCGGGCCCCAGCAGGGCCCGGGAGCACGTGCTTACGTGGTCGGGGTCCAGAACCACCAGCTGGCGTCTGTCTTCCTCGGCCTCGTCACCCCCCTCCGACTCTGCTCTCTCGACAGTCCCTTCTTCCGCGGTGCCCAGCCGCTGGATCCGGTCCAGGAAGGCCGGCGCGGCTCCTCTCCCCGGCTGCGCACCGGGCTCCTCGGGGGGGACACCTGGGGGCATAGCAAGCATTATGGAGGGGTTATTGCAGTGGCTAGTGAGGCCACTTTGCAGGTGCTGTCAGGCGAGGCTGATTTCCAGCCTCATGCAACACAATGGAAAAGAGAAAGAAAAGGCATCCCATGGGTTAGGGCTCGGAAATGCTGCTTACAGGGTCTTCTGTTCATGAATCTTCTATTCGTTGGTTCAACATGTTCCATAGAAGGGATCGCATTTTAAAAGTAATGCATATTACCTTTAATATATTCCAAGAAGTTAATATATTTTGTAGATACTTTTTTAGACATAAATAGTGAATAGGAAGGTGCCTTCTTACTCATGGACTACCTTGATTTTTTTTTAAGATTTTATTTATTTATTTGAGAGAGAGAGAATGAGAGAGAGAGAGAGCGCGAGAGGGAAGAGGGTCAGAGGGAGAAGCAGACTCCCTGCTCAGCAGGGAGCCCGATGCAGGACTCGATCCTGGGACTCCAGGATCATGACCTGAGCTGAAGGCAGTGGCTTAACCAACTGAGCCACCCAGGCGCCCTTGATTTTTTTTTTTTAATGGGAAACAGCTGATAAGATTGACAAGCTGTATTAGTGAGGCTCTAGTTGCAGCTTCCCTAACCTCCTGAGCTGGAGAGATCCTGTTCTGTTTTAACGAGTTTAAAAACTCATTCGGATGTGCGCTGTCTTCACCTCACTGGTGATGTAAAACTTTGTTAGTTGCACCATCCATGCTTGTGTATCATAAGGAAGAAGAAATACTCTGGTCTGCTTTTCCACATCCACAACACTGGGATACGGGACAGGGTATGCCGAGCGACCCTTGGAGACTCAGCAAACACGCAGGCTTAGGGGTGTTGTTCCCGAGCTCCTCTCTGAGACCAGGAGGCAGTGAGGGGTGGCGGTCAGGGGCTGTGGTTTGGATGCCATCGGATCTCTCAGTCAAGGTCTGGTTCTGCCACATACTCGGGTAGGTTACTAAATGACTCTTAGAGTCTTTGTAAAATGGGAGAATGGTTCCTACCTCATTGGGTTACTATAAGGATTAAATGAGATAAAACACAGTGAATGCTCCATAAATATTATCCCTATTTGTTAATAACATTTCTATCCTTCAGCTCCCAGCTGAATGGGAAACGAGGTAACAGATGATGAATGAGTGGTACCCCTTGCACAGAGGGAGATGTGAAGGGGCTCATCCCATGGGCAGGACAACCCGGCAGGTGCCACGGTACCTAGCTCCTGGATGAAGGGCTCCTCCGTGCTCAAGAGCAGCTCGTCAAAGTCTGAGGAGGTGGTGCTGCTCCCCGGGCTCAGTCGGAGGTGGTGTCGTGCCTCCAGAGGAAACACTTCCTGCTGGAGCCCCTCACCGGATTTTTTCTAGAGGAAGAACAACCAAACCTAAATCAATGAGGGCTTAATCAGGACTGAAAAGTTATTTGATTTTGATCTAGTGCAGTGTTCGAAATTCAACATAATTGCTGAAACAGTGGAAAACAATTTGGAGGGGCGCCTGGGTGACTCCGTCGGTTAGGCGTCTGCCTTCAGCTCTGTCATGATTCCAGGGTCCTGGGATCGAGCCCGGCATCGGGCTCCCTGCTCAGCGGGAAGCCTGCTTCTCCCTCTCCCGCTCCCCCTGCTTGTGTTCCCTTTCTCGCTGTGTCTCTCTCTGTCAAATAAATAAATAAAATCTTTAAAAAAAAAAAAAGAACATAGGTTCTCTTGTTAAAAATGCCTGGCTCCATTTAAGCTTTAAAAGAGACTCTTGCAGTTATTACTGTTGACAATAATTATTGCTGATGATGATCTGGCAAGGATTAGTAACAACAATGACCCTGCATAACACGCTGTGAGGTAGATATGAGTCACCTCTGTTATCTGAGGGGAAGCAGCCTCACGGAAGCTAAAGACCTTGCCTGAAGTTCACACACGCAGCCAAGGGCAGGTTCAGAGTTGGGATGCCTCAACCCGAAGCTCGTGCTCTTTCTAATACTTCCTCAGATGATGCTGATTCTAGAAACCATCTCTGAGGCGGCCAGAATTGTAATGATAGTAATGGGGGCCCAGAGTCACAAGCCCACCTCTGGGGTGTCCAGAAAGGGCTTCTCCTACCAAGAAATCGATGAGGCACCCACACACCGAGACACAGAGCAGCTCCCACTCTGCAATTCCTGTTCCTTCTAAGGACTGAGCACCAGCCGGGAGGAAGGGAAATGGGGCTCTCACTCAGGTTTGTCTCTGCCTTTCTGATTGATCACATTTGGAAACTGTTTCCTGGTAACTTTTCTAGAAATGGGACCCGAGGATGGAAACTGGGTTTATAGCTCAATAAGTGACTTACACCTCAAATCTCCTGGACATCTTACAAGGTGAAGACAATTGTTTTCTGAGCTTAATTAGCGATCATCAAATCATGTTACTCTCCAAGGTTATTAACTCTTTAGGGGTCACCAGGTGAGGTGGGATCGTGGCTTTTTGGTTCGGAATGGTGGCTGTGGAACAAGAGCAACACGGCTGCGTGACTCCGGACAGGAAGGCCGTCTACCCGTGTCCTCATCTGTCCAGGGGGGTAATAACAGTTCTCACCCCAGAGGGTTGTTGTCAGAGTCACTGAGACGGAATGTCAAGGGCAAAGGCATGTCCAGACCAGAGTCGAAGATGGAGGAATGTAACCCTGCTCCTCGCTTTCTTTCCAGATCAACTCAAACCTGCAGCCAGCAGTGGGGGGAGAGGAGAGCGGCCTTCAGAGGCCGTCCCCGTGGGGAGCCGTCACAGCATAGGTGCCGGGCCTGGTGACCAGAGTCCCCACAGAGGACAGCCTGGCACAGTCAGAGCCCAAATATTTGGGGGCTGGCCTGGGTGGGGTTGGCCCAACAGTGACGAGAGTGACCAAGGCAGCCCAGTGTGGGGGCGTCCGGGTTCAGGTGGGGTGAGGACAGTCCACGTGGGGGTGGAGAAATGCAGTGAAGGTTATATCCGGGGGATGGATCAAATTAGTAAATACGTTAGGGAGAATGGGGACTAGCCTTCTCATTGCTGGAAAAAGGACTTGGAAATATGGAAGGGGAGGGCACTGAGGGGAACCCACTCAGAGAGGGGTTGGTGTGAGCTGTGTCTGCAGGCGGCGTGTGCAGTGTGTGCGGTGTGTGGTGTGTGTGTGTGTGTCATGTGTGTATGCTACGGAGAGAGCCTGGGGACAGTGGGCCTAGCACCCAAATCATGACTTCTGAATTTTATTTTCCACGAAAAGAAACCAGGCTCCTGGGGAAATGTCTGATTCTAGGGCTGGGCACTCTGTGCCAGAGAATGAGAAAGGGCTCCAAGGATGACGGCGGTTAAAAGAAAGAATGATACCCGTGTGTCGGAAGGACACAAAGGCCAATTTAAATGGGCTCTCACCGGCCAAACTGGGGACAATTTCTATTCAGTGTTGTATTGTGAGTTCTAGCCAGTGCGAGAAGGCAAGAAAAAGATATAAAGGGCATCCAGATTGGGAAGGAAGAAGCTGAACCGCCTTTATTCACAGAGAACATGATCATCTTTATGAAAAATCCTATGATTCTACAAAAAAAAAAGAGCTACTAGAACTAACAAGGGTGTTTCACAGTGTTGCTGAATATAAGATCACTATACAAAAATCAGTTGTGTTACCATATACAGTACCACAGCAAACAACTGGAAGCCATTTCCAATAGCATCAAAAATGCAAAATAGCTAGGGACAAATCTGACAAAAGATGGGCCTATACACCCTGCTCAGAGAAAGATGAACTCCTAGCAATATGGTGGTAATCTGTTGTGATTTGAAATACTCATGTTTCCTATCTTAACCAAAAAGAGCACCTTCCCACACCATTTTTCTTAAATGCAAAGCGGTGGAGGAAAACCTCCCAGTGGAGAAGCCTTGCACTTTTCATTAAGGGGTCCACAGCACCATCACTGGTCATGGGACAAACTACAACCAGTGCACCACCGCATGGGGCTTAAGGAGAACCAGCCTCCCTCTGTGACCCCTTTCCAAGGGATCATAACCCAGATCACAACAAGAGGAGAACCAGGCAAATCCAAACTGAGAGCCATTTTAAAGGTGGCTGGCTGGTGAGCTTTGGAAGTGCCAAGGTCATTAAAGTCCAGGAAGGATTAAGACCTAAGAGATGGGACAGCTAAAGGCAACATGTGATTTGGAACTGTACCTCTGCTCTGAAAGGTGTCACTGGGACACCTGGTGAACAAGGCCTGAGCATTATTTGGTAATATAACGACATTTCCTGAGTTTGATAGCTGTATTTCGGTTGTTTGGGAAACACGCACGGAAGTTGGTGGCAGTGGGCGCATCCGATGGTTGACTTACTCTCCAAGGCTTAAAAAAATAACAAGTTCTTCTAATCATACTTCAACTCTTCTATAAGCCCATGCTCGTTTAAAAATTAAAAAAAGAAAATTGTAAGACCATAACTACTGTCATTATAATCCTGATTATCTAGAATTACATTGTCCAGTATGGTAGCCACTAGTAACTGGTGGTTATATATATTTAAATTAATTAGAATTCTCATTAAAAATTCAGTTCCTGGGCGCCTGGGTGGCTCAGTTGGTTAAGCGACTGCCTTCGGCTCAGGTCATGATCCTGGAGTCCCAGGATCGAGTCCCGCATCGGGCTCCCTGCTCAGCGGGGAGTCTGCTTCTCCCTCTTACCCTCCCCCCTCTCATGTGCTCTCTCTCTCTCATTCTCTCTCTCAAATAAATAAATAAAATCTTTAAAAAAAAAAAAATTCAGTTCCTCCATCTCCCAGGCCACATTTCAAGTGCTCTGTAGCCCCTTGTGACTGATGGCTGCCATGTTGGACAGCAAAGGTAAAGAGCATTTCCATCACCATGGAAAGTTTCACTGGATGGCCCTGTTCTGCAAACCAGAAACTGGATGCCCTTACATGGAATGTTCCCAAACCCAAGGTCCAGAAACTTTTGGCATTCAAGAGTGGGTCCCAAGACTTAACTTTGCTAAGAAATTTCTAACAGAGATTGCAATTTGTTTTTATAATGTGCCCCGAGTTGCTCACATAGGGTGACAAACCACAAAGGCAGTCAAACACTTTCATAAAGTTGACCTCAGGGCCACTTACCGATCTGCTAGCCCTGGGTCTAGAAGCATCCTGGCCTATTTGCTCTGATGAGTCTACTATTTGCCGGGATGGCTGTGTGGAGATGTCCCCCAAATCTCTGGATTCCGATGGACGGGGGGCTTCTCTGTCTTCAGGAACAACTTCCCTCCCTCCATGCTCATCTGGGTATGTGGGGCCCGCTTCCTCTTGGGGCACCGCCCCAGCACCGACTTCTGAATAAGCCAGATCTACAGAACTGACTTTCCCTTCAGGGAAGGCGGCTTCCACATCGGATTGGAATTCCCCTTCAAATTCAAATTCGACTTCATCCCCTTCAAATTCAAATTCCTCTTCCCTTTCTGCTTCTCCACTGATTTCCACTTCTCCATCAATTTCCACTTCTCCATCAGTTTCCACTTCTCCCTCAGTTTCGATTTCTCCTTCAGTTGTGACTTCCCCAGAGGTTTCAATTTTCCCTTCAGAAAGCTCGGCAGCACCAACAGCCTCGTCAATGTTTTGGTCACCGGTCTTCCCGGTGGGTGACACCTGCAGATTTGTGGCAGGAAAAAAAAAATCAGGAAACACAGTCAAAAACTCCCGTGAAGTTCTGCTCGTAATCGTGTGATTATACTGGTGGGAAAACTGCATCTGCACACACCTCTGTGTCCCTGGAAGATTAAGCTCCATGTTCTATCTGTTCTCTCCAGTGTTTGTAATTTTTTGCATCCTTTGTTAGAGAACCTGAGTTCTGAAAACCTCGGGGTGATCTGAGTAGGGGATGCAGGGCATCCCAACTAGCCGCCAGCACTTAAGAATGGGGAGAAAGGAAAATGAGTCTCTGCAAGGGGACTGAGTCTGTTCTAGTGCAAGGTATAGGATCCCCATGCAGTTTTCTTGAGCAGAACTCTTAACTCTTTAATTCCCAGTAAAGACAAGCCCAGCACAGCCCACCCCACAGGGAACTTTACCCTGTCGCCTTCATTATTCTGGGCCTCCTCTCCTGCAGAAGTTGATTCGCCTTCCAGCTGAGACCTGGGTGCAGAAATACAGTTTAACAGTTTCAAAGAACAGTGTTCTTTTTCTTGGCATTGATCACCTCCTGGTGTCTGTCTATATTCTTATTTACTTGTTGATTATATGCCTTCCCTCTAGGCTGTGGGCCATGACTTTGTCATGTTTGCCACCAACCCCAGCACTAGATCATGCCTGTCACCTGCAGGGAGGGAGCGTCACAAAAGAGTTGTTCCATGAATGAATGAAAAATAATTATGGAACTATTCAGGGAACAGCATCAGTACACTACAACAGAAAAGTCACCTTAAATATACTTGTGTCTGGGGCCAAACTGGGGAAAAGAAATACAGCGTAAGAGAAAGTTGCACAAAAGGGACAAAGACTCTTAGAGACTCTTGGTTAGTTCCCCCATGATTTAGATACTACAAAAACGTCATGATTTACATTCTTTTTTTTTTTAAGGATTTTATTATTTATTTGAGACAGAGAATGAGATAGAGAGAGGGAGCATGAGGGGGGGAGGGTCAGAGGGAGAAGCAGACTCCCCGCTGACAGCGGGGAGCCCGATGCAGGACTCGATACCGGGACTCCAGGATCATGACCTGAGCCGAAGGCAGTCGCTCAACCGACTGAGCCACCCAGGCGCCCCATGATTTACATTCTTAAAATTTTTTCTAATTAAAAATACAAGCTCATTTTTTTTTAAAAAAGGTCAAATACAGAAATGTGTGACACAGAGAACGAAAATCCTCTGTGGCTTTCTCTCTTCTCAAGATAACCACTAGTAATAAAAGAGATTTAAGGATATATTCTTGCAAATATTTTTCTATGCATTTAAACACATACACACACACACACACACACAATTAGAGGCCACACTCTACATTTTCCATTTAGTCTTTTCTTTTAATGTAACCTGGACTGCTTTCCATGTCAGTATATATAAATCTATCTTTTAAAAAAAGTGAAACACTACTGAAGCATCTGAGATAAAAGGCCCAATTCTTGAAAATAGTTTCTGTCCCCAGCCCAGCCCCCGCTCCTGGAGGTCTGGGGGTGGCAGGGGAAGGGTCGGGGTCCCCGCGGTCAGGAAGCCTCTCGGTGATCCCCCCGCACACAGAGAGACCTCAGGCAGGTAGAGATCCTGCCACCAGCCTCCGCGCTCTCCTGCTTTATTTACAAGGACGCAAACTATCCGCGCAGGCACCGCGGAGCATAGTGGTTGCTATGGTTACTGCGGGACGAGCAAGCCCGGGGTTTCGAGAGCCCAGCGACCCGAGCGAGGGGAGAGAGGGAGGGGACCGGGAGCTGACAAAGGGACGGGAGACGAGAAGGGGCGAGGAGGGCTGGGGGTGGCCAGGGAGGCGCGAAAGGCCGGGAGGGCGAGGATGGACGGGGCAGAGGAGCGGGGAAAAGGGCGTGAGGGCAAGGGGGAGGCGTGGGGGACGCTTCGAGACCCGGGACCCTCGCCCCGCTTACCCGCCGTCCTGGCCACCCGGCTCCGCCATGTCCCGTTGCTAGGCGACGCCGTCAACATCCGGCGGGCGGGAACCACGCGCGGGGCTGGAGCCGGCTGCGCGGCGGCGCGTCCTTTGTGCCACCGAGGTGCGCTGGAAACGCAGAGCACCTACATATATAAATACATTAAAACATAAACTTAGTTTCTCCATCTCTAAGTCCGAGTTCTGTCCCGCCTGGCTCAGGTTCAGTAAAGCGACAACAGTGTCCCCGAGCGTCCAGCCAGGCAACTCAAATGCCTCAGGGACCGCGCCGGGCACCCGGGGACCCGAGACCGCTCAGTGCCCCGAAGGTGGCAGGCGGAGGTGGGGGCGCGAGGGGCTCCGGAGCACACTGCACCTTGGGGGGGGGTTCGGGGGCCCCAGCCTGGTGCCCGTCCATCCATCTCCAGACCTGGGGCAGGGGTGTTCGGCGTCCCCTCCGCGGGGCTGCGGCGAAGGATCCTTGGCGGAGAAGGATGCTCAGTGGCTTTTTGGAGGGTGACGATCACTTCTTACCCCCACATAGGAAAAATATAAATGGAGAGGACAGAACAGCGAGGGCGAGCGCGCACGTGGAGCGCCCCAGGGGTCCTGTCTTCACTGCCGGGGGGCGCGGGGCTGCCATCAGGGCCAGAGTCCTGGGACCCGGAATTAGGACGGCCTGGGGCGGGGGACTTGGGTCCCGAGGGCGAAAGGTGACTGGGGCAGTGTCGGGGCGAACCAAGGGGTTGGGGGGAGAGGGTTCGGCGGGGAACCGGGCTGGGCCCGGCGCCGGGTTGGGATACGGGTTGGGTGCGGTAGGGGGGGGAAGGCGGGGTCTGGGTTGGGGGCCGGGTTGGGCCGGTTAGGCAGGGTCCGGGTCCAGGTCCGGGTCGGGGTTGGGGTCCGGGTTGGAACAGGGGCCCGGTTAGGGGCCGGGGCGGGCCGGGGCGGGCCGGGGCGGGCCGGGGGCCGGGCCTCGCCGCGCGTCCCCGCCCCGCTGCGCCTCACTGGCGGCAGCGGCGGCTGCGGCGGCGGCGGCGGCGGAGGCTCCGGGAGCCGGCGCGAATCCGGCCCCCGCTGCGGGACCCGGGTGGGTATCGGGGTCCGGGCGGGGGCCGCGGGGGCGGGGTCCAAGGGGTCAGCGGGGGAGCGGGCGGCGCCCCCTCAGCGGGGACGGGGTGGGGGTGCGCGCTGGGCTCTGGGCCTGCAGCGACGGGGCCCGGGAGGGGCCGGGGTCCGGCCGCAGCCCAAGGAGGCGCGGGGCCGGGGCAGGAGCGGGGCGGCGTGGGAGCACGCGGGATCACGCAGAAGCCCCCCGGGGACCCCCTCCGCGGCGGGTGCGGGCGCCCCGGGCCGAGAGTGGACCTAATTCGGGGAGACTCCCTCCCCGCGTGTGTGGAGCCGTGGACCGGAGAACTTGCGGTCTTTGTCTGGCTGGATCGTCAGAGCACGGGAAGGAGAACTTGCAGGGGGCCGCCGTTTGCAGACACAGCCCCCCGAAGTGTGCTTCCCGGCTCAGCAGCGCGCGCGCTCTCAGCATTGCTGGGCCTTAGGGTCGGTGGTCTGGCTGTAAAGAACCGCACGTCAGGAAACTCACTTCCTTTAGGCCGGGCTGTTCCGCCTTGTTCTTTACTTAAAAGAAGAAAAAAAGAAGGAAAGAAAGAGTAGAAAAAAGGAGAAAGAAAAAAAAAATGGGCAATTTAAGATTGCTAAATATAACCTCAGGAACCCTGCCAGAAGCCGGTGAATCTTGAAATCCTGTTATTCCCACACTCGGAAGTTGGTGTCATATGTTGGCCACAATCTAGTTCAGATTCTATTTGGAGATGGAAAACAACATAATATGTTCTTGCTCCCCACTCCGAAGTTTGTTTTCCTGCCCCACCAAGTTCCTAGGAGAAGCTGGGCTGGTCTCCCCCCATTTCCCCCTGGTTTTACCGATCTTTCTTTACCACGGGAAGGCCCCAGTTCTTGCATCTGGAAGGAAGCGAGACATGGTTCTCAAAAATGGCCATGTGGGGAAGCCTATTATCAAAGGGTGGCTGCAGAAGGCCAGATCCCAGAAATCTGTTCCCAATCTGCCATTGATTGATTTAGAGAACTTTTAGAGATCTGTGTTGTTAGGTTTAGAAATTCCTTGGTAGAAATATTAATGGATTGGTGACTACTGAAGGCTTTGAAGAACCACGAAAACTTTTGCAAAGACAGGATTATTGAAGTAGGGGTTGCCTTGTAGTAGTAACTGGGGAATTCATGTAAGTTGCCCATTGTCGGTACTGGGAGGCACGTGGATGCTGAATGCGTTTATTATGTTTTCTGTGGCACTTGGCTTGTGGAGTGTTGATGATGAGCAGAATCTCAAAGTATGGCTAAAAAAGTTCTTATCAGTGGAATTTTAAAATCCTCCAGTGATGATGGTTGTTGTGTACATACTTTTTGATTATTATACATGAATTCACTTCACCCCAAAAACAAGCCCATAAAGTCAGGACTGAGGTTATCCCCATTTTACAGATGGGAACACTGAGCCTTAGAGAAGTAAATTCCCCAAGCTCATGCACCTAGGACAGAACCAAGTTCACGCATCCTCAGGCCCAGGATGCTCCAGCCCCAGAAATGGCTGTGCGTACCGCCTCCTACCTGGTAAGGGGTGCCTGCCATTTGCATGCACACACTCTTCCTGACCCTCTCTTTGCAGACGGTTCATTCGCCTGACGATTCATAAAAAAGCAAGAGAGTAGTGACTAATCCCATGTCACGCACCGGCTGCTAATATCAGTTCTCTTTTGTCCAGAAGGAGCCTCTCGGGCCTCGTATAAAAGCGTTTGATAAGACGGCCACTGGGTTTCTGGAGCCTACCTGCTTGCCCCAGTCTCTCTGCCCTGGTTTGGGGTGGCTCTGTGCAGTGGTTAAAAACGTGGCCCCCAAAGTAAACTGCCGGGTTCAAATACCAACCCTGGTACCCAGCACCAATTTCATTCCTGGGTGCCTTAGCTTCTCCATCTGTACAGTGAAGATAGTTCTACCTACCTCAAAGGCAATGGTCATCCGAAGCACCTAGTGCCTGGCACATACCAAGCGTTAAAATTTTTTTAAAAAAATTTTATTAATGACCATCATTTGGATTGTTCACGGTTAGCAAATTGGTAAAAACATTTTGATTTTATTTCCTAATTCCTTGTATGTGGGATGTGTGGTCCGTCAGGTGGCAAGCTGCTCTGTGCAGAAGTGGAATTCACCGTTTAGGGATAGGGACACTCTCTGCCTTGTAACTTGCGGGTCGCTGGGTCCCGGCAGGCTGTTCCCGGGACCAAGGTGACCGGGTTGTCTGGAAACACAGGTCTCAAGTAGAGATTTGGCCACTGCCCCTCCTCCCCAGCTGAGGGACCCCAAATTTTTCACAGGCCTGAGTCTTCTCTCATGTAAGATTAGCCAGGTCGTTTCATACGGTGGGGCAGCGTGAGGAGGGCAGCGTGGGGAGGACACGGATGGACTTGCGGCTCCACAGTGAAGCAACTGTAGCAGCTGGGGCCCAGGTGGGTTTTACTGATGTACATTGTATTGTACATCATTCTGTTATATTTGTACAATACTGATGATCGTTGATGAGCCCCGTGCACAGAAAAGAAAGCACAAGTCTGCAGTCTCCCCAGCCCCTGAATTCAGGGAAATAGTCTAGGAGATCTTTTTCCTTTCACTTCAGTGGTATTTTTTTTTAAGGTTTTTATTTATTTATTCATGAGAGACAGAGAGAGAGAGAGAGAAAGAGAGAGGCAAGAGGGAGAAGCAGACTCCCTGGATTCGGGACTCGATCCCAGGACCCTGGGATCATGACCTGAGCCGAAGGCAGATGCTTAACGACTGAGCCACCCAGGTGCCCAGTAGTGGTGTTTTTTGCTGTTGACCACCTGTGCGTCCTTCGGTACTGGGTCTTGCATCTCTAATAAATCTATTTTGATGAGCTGTCTAGTGATACCCTATCCGAAGCATGTCTTTTACTGTCTCTTCAGAACTAATATATCCATCCTCAGGGAGGAGCAAGGTCTGGCCACTTAAAGACAAAGCGTGATGCTCCCAAAGCCGTCATCCAGCCGGGATGGCATGCCCTTCTCTTGCTGAGCCTTGGGTGGCCAGTCTGTCCAGGTGTTTAAAGTTAATGTATGTGACAAGCCACCCATAGGGACCCACCTGCCTGCAGGTACACAGGTGAGGCAGTGTCTTTTCCATGCTCTTTCTGGATTGGCCACTGTAGAAACCACCATAATAGGGGTGCAGCCCCAGCCCGTGTCTGCACTAGCTTGTATACTTTGGTTTTTGTGCTGGTTTTCCACACTGAGTGACCCTGAATTCAATAGTCTGACAAACTGGTCATTACACTCTTTGTCTGAAATTGGGGCAAAGGGCATTCTTAACAGATGTCATTTCACACTCTTTCACTTTTCAATTTCTGTAACTAAAAAGCTTTCCCCTGGAGCAAGATCAACTGTGTTGTTTTTCAGGGATATTGTCAATATATCCCCCACCCCCGACCCCCCATTGGATTTTTGTGTTGTGGTGCCTTAGCTTCTCCTTTACCACAGACAGAGAACCTCAGCTCTCTGTATTAGAGTTTACAGGAACAATATCGACATCAGGTGCACCTGACCCACTGTTGGGTCGGTTGGTGGCTTCCTGGCTGGATGTGTACGTTTCCTTGCTTTTTGGGTCCAGTCCTTCCTTGTTCCTCATTCTTAGCTCATCTCTAAGGTCAGTTTCATCTCCCAGGCCCTACTTCCTCAGCTCTTTGGGGAAAAAATAGTGTTTTGGTATTTACTGTCAAGGGGGCACAAAGAGTGAATGGTCTCCTGCTTGAGAGGCAGAGGCCTTGGGGTTTTCCAGGGAGTAGGTGATCATCGAAGCGGCAGCTGGACAGCCAAAAGCGGGAGTCACAGTGAAGCTGGCCACCAACTCCCCTCACGTACCTGTGACTGCCTTGTCCTCATGGCCTCTCAAAGGTCCTTTCCCGGATGGCGATTGGTCCAAGCCTC